ATAGAAAATCTGTGGAGGGAGCTGAAGGTTCGAGTTGCCAAACGTCAGCCTCGAAACCTTAATGACTTGGAGAAGATCTGCAAAGAGGAATGGGACAAAATCCCTCCTGAGATGTGTGCAAACCTGGTGGCCAACTACAAGAAACGTCTGACCTCTGTGATTGCCAACAAGGGTTTTGCCACCAAGTATTAAGTCATGTTTTGCAGAGGGGTCAAATATTTATTTCCCTCATTAACATGCAAATCAATTTATAACATTTTTGACATGCGTTTTTCTGGATTTTGTTGTTGTTATTCTGTCTCTCACTGTTCAAATAAACCTACCATTAAAATTATAGACTGATCATTTCTTTGTCAGTGGGCAAACGTACAAAATCAGCTGTGGATCAAATACTTTTTTCCCCTCACTGTAAGGCATTGCACCACCACCCCCACACACACACCATAAAACACCCACGGAATTTCAAAAGCATGAGCGAGAAAAAACGGATGAGAGAACCTTAAAGGGGATTATTCATCTGGGTCGTACACAACAGCGATGTTTTTTATTTGGGTCTGCTATGAGCCATAGCCACCGGAAATATTACATTGACTTAAAACTTTCGTGACTGCAGGAATTCATATTGTTTGGTTATTTCGGTAAAGTCATGTACATGGAAAAATAAAAAAAAAGTGAATAAAAATACAAATAATAAAAAATAAAATACATTATAGACTGCCAGTACGCTCACTCAGTTTAATAACCATTGCTACAGTCTACATTAGACTGCCAATACGCTCACCAAGCTTAAAAACCAGACTACAGTCTACATTATAGACTGCCAGTACACTCACCAAACTGAAGAACCAGGCTACAGTCTACATTAGTGCTTTGCTTTTTTTTATTCACTTTATTTTTATTATTATTTTTCTATCTACGTGACTTTACCTAAAGAACCAAAGAATACCGAAAACATTTTGTTCGTTTGTGCAGGCAGTGGTGACTGGGCTGAGACCACAAAACTCGCTGCAGTCAAGAACACGATTTCGGTAGTGCCAGCAAAGCATCTCAGACCTCTGAGCCACCCGGCCACCTGTGTTCCAGTGGTTAGGATGTGTTGGCGTGGAAAGCGTTTATAATACAATGCAATCTAATGTCACCTAAATGGGCAACGCAGCAGCCCAGCCGACCGTCCCACTGCAGTCCCACTAGATTGTCGAGAAACACTGACGAGGCCCTTATTTGGAGCAGTGTCAGATTAAACTGTGGAGACGGGACATTAGTGATGGGGAGGGAGATGGTTTTCAATTTACAGGAAGGTGAAAGAGCTCCCCCCCCCCCCCTCCAGAACTCATACTGCCGTCTGAACCAATGCCGTTTGCAAGCTCCTCTTAACACTCTTAAATGTCTTGCATGCAGCGAGGCCAGGACCATGCTATTTTTTTGCTAAGCTAAGCGAGATATATATTTTTTTATTTTACCAAGTTAGGCCCACGGAGCTATATTAGTTATTTTTCAGAAGCGACTTGGCCACAAATGATAGCTGAACGAAGTGGCTCATCGTGGACATTCGTAGCAACTAAATACTCTAAACGCATGTTGATTCTAAAAGAGGGAAAAACTGGGTGACCTGGAGAAAAACCCATGCAACCACGGGGAGAACATAGAAACTTCAAAATATATATCAGGCATCACGGTCGGGATCAAACCCATGACCTCCTGTATACCAGGCGAGGTAGTTAACATCTCGCCACCATGGCGCCCATGTAAACCAATCATCACGACCGCACCGATGCAGAAGGTGATACTGATTTTAGGCCCAGTACACCGAGGAGAGGTTCCAAGCTGGGTTTACAAAACCAATGTGTATTGTTTAGAAATTTCACAACAAAGGTTCCTGGTATTGTGACTGCCGGGAACTTTTGCCTTTTGGAGTTTCAAAAACAACAGCCTCAACTTCCACTTTCAGACTACGTCTCTCTTTTGGTGAGCATAGCAGCGAGCGGCAGTGTCGTAGCTATCGAGTGTGCAGGCGGTATAAGGGGATGGGGGGGGTGAGAGAGGGAACTTCCGTGCGACGGTCTGCTCGAGTCAGCTGTTCACCACGATGTGATGCTTCAGCAATGTGGGTCCGGTAACATCTACACTCCCTACAGCAACTTCCACTACACTTGCAGTAGATCAAGGGGACGCGAGTGCCTGACCTCTGAGTGTCAGCGGCCAGCCTCTGCTGTGCGCGTGTCAAGCGACAATATGGACAAAACTCGTGAGACGTTCCAATACACACCCCCCCCCCCCCAAAATAGACTTTCCTGGTGAAATATTTTCAAAAAATTTACAAAAAGCCTCTGGCCTACCTCAGCCTCTCAACGTCATCAACGGTATGAGATAGGCCTCCAACTAAAACTGAATCGGCGCTCTCACTGCAAATCACACGGGAAATGTTTAACAATCATCGGGCACGGGCAGTGTGCAACAATACAACTTGCGTGTGAACGTAGAAGATTAGCAAGCGTGGCTGGGTGGACAACGGTGGGTTGAGATGACAGTAGATCAGCCAAACGCCGTATTAATAATGCGCCGCCAATGACACGTTTTATTTAGTATCATCGGATCGCAGCCAGAAGTGCTGTCATCACGGTTGTTGATATATTCTTGGTTCTTTCAGTAAAGTCACGTAAAAGGGAAACAAGAAAATAATAAAAATAAATATTTTTACAATAAAATAATACAAAATATATATTTTTAATTTTATTGTTTCCCTTCTACGTGACTTTACCGAAAGAACCAAGAATATGAATCCCTGCAGTCACGAAAGCTTTAAATCAAAACGGTTGTTGTTGTCGCGATTCGAAAGTCTTGCCCAGGGGTCAGAGCTTGGGAGAGGCACTCAAATACCTTTAAGGCTAATTAACACCATCAAAAAAGGGGCACACGTTACGCCGCGGCCGAAAAGAAAAAGCTCCAACATCGTCGCTGCTTTATGCACGTGCTTGTTCAGGTCTGTCAATCTACACCGCTCTACCTACAGGTCGGCAAGGTGCCAACTGATGAGAGCAGTAGGGGCCAGAATGTGCGTAGCGTCTCCGATCAAGTGACATGGAATGCAACTGATCCCCGTGATATTTCAGCCACTCCAAGCAGGGCTTGGCTGGACGATGACCATCATGGATAATAAACACAGGGGGCTGTGTGTGGTGGTGGCCAGCAAAAAGGCAGTGCAGCAAAGTCCACTGTTATACTTTACTCCTATGCTCCCAGGTCTAGTCCCCTACCAACCCCACCGCCCCCTTCACAAACCCACGCTGACCAGCGCGGTCAAACCTCAAACTCGCCCCCCCACGACTCGCATGGCGTGCGAAGGTTGTCATCCAGCAGTGGAGTGACAAAATGGTCCTTACATGTACTCATTTACACTTCATAATAAAGGGGGGGGGGGGGGTTTGGGTTAGCTCATGGAAATATAAATGTGTCGTTAAACCCGCCACCACCTGACACAGCCAATTAGTAAGGTTCATCACGTGATGAACCTTACTAACATTTGGTCGTGAAAGGCTTCGTGTTAAACTCTACACTCCTGAAGAGAACCAATCTTGAGGCTCCGAGATTAACAATCCGCGCTCCTGTAGACAATGTGCCTCAAACCTTTTCAGAGGTTACACTTTTAAAGCCACCGCGTAAACCATTCCCATCTAATGTCAACGCGTGTTAGTTTAGCGACTCGTTGCGCTAAATACGTTAATCAATCAAAGTCCTTTTTATTCAGACGAGGGCCTGGATAAAGGAGTTTAGGACACGGATCGTTTATTATCCATTTTAGAAGGATAGTTATTGATTTTAGCCATTTATTTAGGTTCAAAGTAAGTTTGTTATTATATTGTAATATTAAGAGCACGGATGCTGCGGTGCAATGGTTAGCACTCCGGATTAACAATCCAGAGGTTGGCGGTTCAAGTCGATCTCCCGGCGTGGCAGTTAAAACAACAGTGAAAGTTTCTTAAATTGACCTTGCACGGTCGACCCAATGGTATACATGGGCTCACCACGGTTAGGTCAAGCGGTGTATTTTTCTTTTACCAGGTAAGTTCCACCGAGCAATGTAGCGCTTTTTCAGAAGCGACTTGGTCACAAATGATACCTAAACGAAGTGGCTTATCACATGGATATTTATCGCAGCCAAATACTCGAAACGAAAGGTTAGTTTGTGAATATTGCACAGGTTAAGTGGTTTAATGAAAAGCTGCCAAGTGTCCCGGCTTGGCCAGGAGAGCCTCTCTGGTTTCGGAATTTTGTCCAAGTTTTAATTTTCCTGGCCTCATGCTCGACTCGCGATATGGACAAAGCACGGGGCCTACAAGCGGTGTGTGCGTGGGGCCAATGTAAAAAATAGCCTATCAAATCACCGTGTTCGGGGCTAGTGGTTGAGTGGGCGTGACTACGTAAGTGGGTGGGCCTGACCAAGGAAGGTGCAACCAGAAGCACCATGTGTCCCGGTTGAACTGTCGAGACGTGCGACAGCTTCGTCTTAACATGCCGAGCTACAAGCCTACGAACACAGGGGGCAAGAGTGAGGCCTGTGTAGGCGTTCGGAATGAGCGATGGCGAGGATGAGAAAAAGACGCAGGGAGATTTTTGTACCACCGCAACTCATCCCGCCACTTACATCAGCATCCACCTGTGTCGATGTTTCTCAAGATATAGATAGACTACAGTGCGACTCCACAGCCACATGACACCACTCAGGACAGCAGTTACCAAATACACACGGTCCGGTCCGCCCACCCCTCCCAACGAGCCCTAAGTCAGTGAATTTGTTTAAAGTGGGGCAGCAATACAAAATATCCGGGTGGGAGTAGTGGGGGTAGAGTGGGGGTAAATCACGGGACAGTCAATTTTATATAAACTTTCAAACAAATGCAATCGGAAGGTTTTAAAATAAAATCTTGGTTGGGGGGGTTGACTCAGCCCTTCATCCCTCCACGGTTGATAAATTAACAAGGACAACGTAGGGAGGTGCTCACCGAGTAGTTTTTGGTGTTGATCTTCACGCCGGCCTTCGCGCCTCCAAACGGCACGTCTAAAACGACACGCCAAGAAGAACATTTAGATTTTGATATTTCGATAGAAGAAATAATTACCAGTGCACGCACGAGTGGGGAATGAGAGACTCCAAGCCGATCGTTAGTCTAAACAACGGGCCATGGGGCCCGTTGAGACACACGCAAACACGGGTCTCGATCGCAACGCGATGCTTGTGTCACCATCCGACACGGCGCGGTGAGTAAAGACACACGACGCGACAACGAGAATACAGAGATCGATACCACAAAAAACGTCAAGAAATTTAATACAAATCATCCTCTCGTTCATATGGCTCATGTAGAGGCAGCGCAACAACCACAATTTCACTTGCAGGTGGTCAAGCCAGACAACCGCGTCAGGAGCAGCCGAGTAGTGTATCATCGCTGTGATGTCTCCTTATTATTTGTGGATCGGCACTGCGTCGTTCTACGTTGTACGGTCTGTTCTGGGTGACCACAGTCGTACACTGCAGAGTACACAGGATTAAAATTAGTATTAAGTGAAATCTATAGGACTTAAATTTCAAATGAAATACACTTTAAATGAGATATAGGAGCCGGTTTAAAAGCACTTGGTCATATTGACCAATCAATGAGTCAGTATTCCCATTAAATACTTCATTTATGTTATACTGGGCTTTCCAGTCACCACATTACGTTGAGAGTCAGTGGACATGACAGAATCTCAGTCGGATCAAACGACACAGTGCGTCGTGTTCCGAGCTCACGCATCGTGCCCACGTGTTCGGCTTCATTGTAAATAACCAACACGTGGGTACATGACGAATAGGAGCATCCAATACTCTGTAAAGCCAGGGGAGTAAACCCAATCACACTTTGCCTCGCAGTCCAAATTAACCAACAACAACCCCAGTGCGCTCTAAAAAAAAAAGGTACGAAATGCGGTCCAACGTCCCACATCCGCCCTGAACAATTAACCGCCCACACCAAGTGCTTTATTTGTGCATGGTGGTGGTGCAACTCAATTTCTCTAGATTATTGCATAGCCGACCTTTTCAGATATCCGCCTATACCTCAGCCCCCAGCCAGCCGGATATCTGACGTACTACACAGCGGATTAAAACTACTGTCATCCGCCTAGTATATCCGTGAGCAGGGAGGAGATTTTTTTTTAAACGTAAGGCAGATGCAACGGTTGTTCTCTGTGCAAAGAGCATCTGCGCAATGTTGGAAGAACAATTTTACACATCTAAGAATTTTACTCGTGGGACAAATTCCAAACAGCGAATTGTGGATTTAAGCAGATGTAGGATGAGAAAGTGTATTATTCCGAAGAATGTTTATTTAGAATGGAGGAATTAAAGACGGTGGTTACTGCATCGCACGCTTTCAGATTCGCTTCTGCGGCCGTCCGGAACGCTCTTCCTTCTGGTAATAGGAACTCACCTGAGCTATGAACTTTTTAATCTATATTGAAAACTAATTTCTTTAGAACCGATGTGTTTAGTTTTTGGCCTTCCCACGCACTTATGATGAATACGGTTGGCTACGTATGGTGCAAAGGTAGTTAAACATACATGCCAACAGCATTTCCTCCAACAGCGCCATGTCACAAGGGACATGTTTACCATTCAAACACATGCAAAGGTAACAATTGCATCTGGTAAAGACCAAGAGGTACCATTGTTGTTTACGAGGACTGCAAGTTTGGGAACAATGCCCGAATGGTTTAACGCACGGATATTCACAGAGCCTATCAGACATTGAGTCGATGCACTTGGGGGGCACTTGGGGGGCACAGTAATTACGAAGCAAGCAGCTTTAAAACACACGACCTCGACCAGTTTGACTTCCCTACGCAGCAGTGACAGGGAGAGGCACAGGCGGGAGAGGCAGAGGGTACACAGACAGAGGGTACACAGGCAGAGGGTACACAGGCAGAGGGTACACAGGCAGAGGGTACACAGGCAGAGGGGGAGAGGCACGTGTTGGGGGGAGAGGCACGTGTTGGGGGGGAGGGGGGGGGGAGTCGCGAGTTAGCAGCAGAGGGGAAATGGCACTCAAGTGCGTGGGACACCGTTGCATTTCGAGGAAGTTTGGCACCCAAGGTGATACAGTAACGCCGAGGACGTATCGGTGTCACTGCAGGACTCCCTGTCCCCTGTGTGTCGGTGTGTATGTTTGGGGAGCGGTGGCGCAGAGATTAGCGCGCTGCGGGACGAACACGGAGACCAGAGTTCGATTCCCGCTCACGGTCACCAACATCGGTGACGATTATCTGAACCAGTCCTGGTCCTCACTTAGGTCGACTCGGCCTCAAATAGAGTACCTGGTGCGGTGGTCGTAAACATCGCCACTGGGCTGACAAAGGCAACCGGGTGAGGTGCTGCCTAGCCCACCCCCTCGTGTGTTGTGCCGGCCTCCATAGGTGCTCGCTAACAGCACAGCACGCTGCACCATGAAATGGGGATTGCAGTGGTTATGTGCTACGCTATGAAGCTGATAACCTGAGTTTGATTCCCAGCCATGGCTAAAATCAGTACTACGTGATATCCAAACCAGTCCTGGGCCAGCCCAACAAGTTAACAAACGAACGTCAGTGACGGGCGATATCCAAACCGGTCTTAAACCTCCTCCCCCCCGTCCCCTTCTCCCCTAGTCTACTTCACAAACCTGAACTGACCAGCGTGATGCAGCAGGGTCAGAAAAACGACCACGAAGGACAAATGGACACGTTACGAAATACTGGCGCACATCGCTTTCCTGATCTTCGTCGGAACTTGTCTTGGGAACAAAGCGGCGACCTCCCCTTCACCCAACTTCCCACCATCTCTGGCCCCGATCTCCCATCTCTCACCGCTGATGCATAGCACCACCAGTACATCCACCACCCACCCCACCCGCCCACGCGTACTCTTCCCACCCGTCCTCCCCCCCTCCTCGCGATGGCTTACCTACAACGGCGCACTTGTACGTCATCAGAGATGCCAGAGCCTTCACTTCATCCACGCTCACCTCTTCGCTGTACCGTATCCCTGCGGAAGAGAAACAGGCGGACGTCAGCGAGTGACATCATGACGGTGGGAACAAACGCGCGCCTGCGAGCCAGTGAGTCGGAGGAAAGGTCTCGTGGAAATTATTTTTTAAACGGAAAACCGTAAAAAATATTTTACCAGATAAGGCCCAACGGAGCTATACAGCTCTTTTTCAGAAGCGACCTGGACACAAATTATATCTCAATGGAGTGGCTTATCATCACGTGGACATTTATAGCGGCCAAATACTCTAAACGCATGTTGATTCTAAAATGTGGAGGGAAAAAACCGGAGGACCTGGATAAAAATCCACGCGACCACGGGGAGAGAGACACGCAAACTCAAAATATACAGCAGCAGGCGTCAGGGTCGGGATCGAACCCCATCAATTCCTGCATACCCGGCGAGGGCGTTAACATCTCACCACCGCGGGAGTGCTGCAATGGTGAGATGTTTTTTTGGGACCGCCAAAGCCCCCCCCCCCCCCCCCATTAAATGTATAAACCGAAAGTGTTGACGAGATCTAGACGAGAAACACAGATGCTGCGATATGAGAGAAATAGAGGTGGAACGAGACAACAATCCAGAGGCAATCATTAAGCTACTTGGGGACCCAAAGCTTTTGCTTAGTTTCCTTATGCCTTCCACCACCACGGGTTGGTGGACCATGCAAAGATTTGTGCAACTCCCAAACTCCCAACCCCAATGGACTGCGAGCTGATCACATGAAAGTACAGAACATGGGCTCGTGCACCCATCTTTGTGGGCCTGAGTGTCGTGCCTTTGAGTTATCCCTTCGTACGTGTGGTTTTCTTAGTAGATGAAACTCAATAAATGGACATTGCCAAACATCCCAATGCAGGCCCCTTCTGAAGAGAGAGTGGCAGGGGCTTTCCTGGAAAAATAAACGACATCATCATTATTATCACCACCACATTTGCCAATTACTACATGTTATTAAATAACTAAGTAGCAAACAAAATCCTGTAACATTGTTGACGTTGTCGGGTCTCATTCTGCTAGGATGTTAGCGGTAACGAGGGGATGGCGAGAGATCCCGCTGGATTTAAATCTCTCGCCATCAGCTGTAAATAAATATAAAGAATCATTCGCAGCCGTTTGTACATATTGTTGAAGTGCCGATCGAAGGTGCGTGACACGAGGGGGGGGGGGGGGGGGGGGGGGTGGAGCAGACACTTTGGCGGTGCAGCTGCCAAGTGTGCAGGCGGTGCAACTGCAATGCGGCACACGGGGCAGCGGCCCACACTTCATTCTTTTCACCAGGGCTCATGCCCAGTCATGCCGCATCAGTCCCAAATGGTCAACTCGCTGATGGATGAAAATCTCACCCTCTGTATCGGAGCCAAAGCCAACATTGTTGAGAGTCTGCCAAGCAAGGGAATCGATAGACGTGCATTACAAGCTGGCGCAAAGCCTTTTTGGCTTCCTGCGAGGACAATAAAGAAAGAACAGAATTGGAGGGGGGGGGGGGGTGCGAAGGGAAAGATTTAAAACCCAAAACAAAGACTGCAGCAGCTTGGCAGTTAGGGGTTCATTTCGCAAATGTTCTGCCACAAGCTTCACCTCCTAGGCGGACGTGCTCTCTCGGATGCCGTTCTATTCCGTGGCCGCCAGTCATTCATTTGTTTTGACAAAATCGGGGCCATCCCCTTCAAGCGACGTGCCCTGCCGCGTGAGCCAACTTACTTTTTTCTTCACGGTTTCCACGATGTCATCAACCTGCAAATGTTCCCTAACCCCGCGAGTTTCTCTTTCTGTCTACTCAATTACGTTTCAAGCGTGTTGTGTCTGTCTCAAATGCACATCTGCGCACCGTTCCGATTTTCTGAATATTTTCGTAAATTGCCACATTTCTGAACCACGTCAAACCACCACATGTCACTTTTCCACCTCCCACCCAACATCGATGGACGCTGCCCCTGCAGGCGACAACATCAGACCTCTACCGTTGAACCCCAGGGGCAATAAATTCCAAAAACTTCCCTTGCCACAACCTGCCCGGATTACGAGCGCACCTTTGACCCCTAAGGGCTCCGATGTGGATTCAAAAAAACTCCCCACTTCCGCATGGACGCGACAATTTTTCAAACCTTCAGCGCTAAGAGTCGCCCTTTGAACACGTTGAATACATGCGTACGCGTTATGCGTGCGTGCGTGCCCGTGACCCCGGAGAATGATGGAAGGTCTACGAGGGAAGAAAAAAACGTCCCTTCACTTAACAATTATTGAGAACAAATCTGCATTCACAGCAAAGCGCTGGGAAGCCCGGTGCGGTGGCAGCGGTGGCGTGGCTGTGCCTGCGAAGTCGTGACCCAGCGCGAGCAATCGTGGGTCACGTCGAGGTTCGCAGATCTCACAAACCCGCTAACGCTAAATCTAGGATTGAAAACTCATTTCTTTACAGCTGCTTTTTCGTGTATAGTTTGTTGTCGTGCCCGCACCTCCCATTAGCACGGTTAGCTAAGTACGGTGCGAAAAACATTTGAATCTACATACCCATCCAGCCTGTCTCTCTCTCCTCACATCAACCACATGAAATACATTATTTTGATGTGGTTTAAAAAGAGATGGGGGGGGGGGGGAAAAGTGTGTCTTTGTTATTTGTAATTAATTTATTTTTGGTGGACAGCTATTTCCTTCCTTACCGTGAGCCAAATAGGACTTTCAATTTATTTTTTACATCGCCTGTATATTTAACTCATTTCTTTCACACCGTACGTAGCCAACCGTGCTAATGGGAGGTGCCGGAAAATCTTTATTTACGGTCTCAGCAAGCGAAGTGGCTGTGAAGGTTTACAGTATCTCAATTTCAAAACAGACCTGTTATACAACTCTTATGTAATGTTACAAGTGGCTTTAAAATTTTGTCCAATCTACAAGATCGCATGCTGTCAACCACCCACTTATTACTTTGTTTGCCAAGCGCCTCAGAGTTACTAGCAAAAAAAAAGACACAGGTGCCATTTCTTATTTTAAATAAAAACACTTAGTCGTGTTATTATTTTGCATTGTCAGGGATGCACATCCATCAAGCAGTGCGATGCTGTCACGGCATTATGGTCAGCACGCTGGACTTGCTATAGGCCACCTTTCGATGCGATCTCCCGGCACGGCAGTCCATTTAGTACGTACACATGGAGGGAGGAGGTAACCCAAATGCGTTCGCTTGCGTATGGGGGGGTCTACTGACAATGTACGCATAGGAAACGTGTGGGGGGGGGGGAGGGGGGGTTGAAGCCTCGATAATAATTTGTCTACATTGGCCTTCAAATGAGTTAGATAGTCCGGCGGTGGACTGTTTGCTTAAAACACGTTCATATTATTAATCCTTGATCGTTTCTGCGTGGATTAAATATCGGCCGTTCTATAGGATTCGGGGGGGGTGGGGTGTGTAAAAAGTCCGCGTGCCTACAGGGAGGGGAGGGAGGGGTCGAGTTGACAGATTTGTTGAGTTCCTACTCAATGGATGGCCCCTAAAACAACGGTGCAGAGGTTTCACCATCGCCGCCCCACCTCTGTTCTTACCGCGGGATAAAATGAGCTCGCCACGGTAAATGGTGGTCAGTGTGTGGATACGAAGTACTAACCTCTTTACTACCTCTTCCAGGAAGCCTGGTCAGCGTAGAAGAGTAGGCCAAAAACACTAAAAAGTGTGACTCAAGAAATCTCTCAAGTCGAGGTTTCTTCCGATAGCAGCGGCCTAAGCAAGAAATTGCAGCGCTGCGCCTCCCGCTTACGTACAGAGCATTAATTGGCTATCGTCTAACGTCGCTTTTTTAAAGTCAATAACAACCCTTCCATTCTAGATTTGAAGTTTTCGTGACTGCAAGGATCCACTCTTTGGTTCTTTCGTGACTAAACAAACCCTTCCAATTTAAACAAGGAACCTCCGGAGAACACATGTAGTACGGAGTAGGACCGATGGCCTTAATCTATGTTTTCTTGTTGTTGTTGTTTGACTTGCATCCCACTGGAATTTTTGCACACAGCGTTGGTGTACGGTGCTATTTCAGGAATATTTTGATGTTTTTTTTCCTGGATTTTCTCACTTTAAGATGTTTTTCTTGTTCATGTTTTTGGTTTTTTTGTTTGTTGCGGTTTGCACCGGATTCAAGAGCCGAATGGCTCACAGGGCTATACCAAATAAATTAAACTGTGTGTACTTTATATTCACAACAAAATAATAATTTATTATTTTGTTGTTTCTCTTCAACGTGACTTTACCGAAAAAACTAAGAATATGAATTACTGCAGTCACGAAAGCTTTAAATCAAAATGTGTGTACTTTGTTTAACCGTGGTAACAACAACTCAAGAGCCCAGGAAGCGAGGGGCCTCATTCGCAAGAGGCCGCTTCACTAAATAGAATGACACAAAAAAACGTGACCGACGGGAGGCATTCGTTCTCATCAGAATTCCCCGTCGTACAGCGAGGCCGACCGTGTACCAAGCTCTATAAAAGGAAAGGATGGAAGTTGAGCTCAGGGTTACATAAGATTCATTAGCAGCAGCAGCAGCTGACGATGCTGCTTGTCCACAGAGAGAATGAATGCATGTTATGAAAGGCGGTGCAGTAACAACAGATTTTAATCGACTTTGCGATGCAGGCCGCTTATTTTTTTTGGGACACCCATCTGCTGCTGGCCTCTTAAACAAGGCCAAGGTCTTACTCGAACTTTAACATTTTATTCATAATAAAGGTGTTTGGGTTAGATCGCGTTTATTTATAAATGTGTCGTAACCCTCCACCACCCGACACGGCCAATCAGCAAAAAAAAGTGTCACGTTGACAAAAAGACAAATAATTCACTACTTTAGCCCACACGGCCAATCAGCAAAAAAAGTGTCACGTTGACAAAAAGACAAATAATTCACTACTTTAGCCCACCGGTGTGTTGAAGAGTTAATCCACATTTACAGTTTGAGTACGCCGTTTCGCTGGTAAATACATCCAGCACCATCGGGCAATTTTCCAGAATGGTAAAGCCCTCACTTGCTCCCGGTTTTATATAGAGCAGCAGGGTGACGTCATCACTTAACTCATATCAGGTGCAGTGATTAGAGGCGGAGGGGGGTATTGTAATTATATAATCGATTAGTAATCAGTCATTGGTTATGATTAGTAATGAGTTGTAGCTTACATGTTAAACCAAATTTAACATTTTATCTACAAAATAACACCTTGCCAATATTAACTATGTTACCCTATTTGTATTTTATTTATTTATTTTAAGATTGTATCTTATAGCTATTTTATATTCTATATTTATTCAATTTTATATACTTTAGCTCCTTGGTGTTAGTTAGACTTTGAACCCTTATTATAGTAAGACTTGTTTACCACCTATTTAAGATTTTAGATTTCTATATGTTGAATGTATGCACCATCCTGCCAAAGTAAATTCCGTGTCTGTGTGAACTTTCATTGCGAATAAAACCCTTTCCGATTCTGATTTGTCCATGCGACGTGGTTCTTCTCTGCTCGGATTTCTCCGTTTGCTGCACTCTCATTTAGTTTGTACCGATTTTGCCATTTTTTTGCTCTCGTGAAAATTAATACTATCCATAGTATATCTTAGGGGCGCTCATATGGTTAAACAAAATCAACTCGAACACGCACACGCGTATCATCCCCCCCCCCGTCTCTTTCACAGCGCTTAATTTATTTCCAGAACGCTGCTGGACCTGGCTTGGCATTTACGGCATAAGGCACTACCACTCGAGTCGAAGGTGCAGTATGTCCATCCATGATACTGTACTCCAAGAGTCCTGTATTATTAATAATTATTTGCACGTACCCTACACGCTGCATCATCCTAATGAACAGGATCACGAGGTCACCATCAGAGAGCATTGAGAGGACAAAAAATACGGTCGGAATGGGAGTGGCGTGTCAATATAATCCCCGGTAGAATACACACAAAACAACAATACACACCACGAGAATCAACAACAGTGAGAAAAATGACTGCGCTTGAGACTACTACACACAGCGTGTGTGAAAATACACACACAATACACACACAGCGTGTGTGAAAATAATGCCATGCATGGTTGTCACACACAGCGTGTGAAAATAATGCCTTGCATGGTTGTCCTGCCATCAGACGAATTGTGGGCGCATCGACAACATTTATTTGGCAAAAGCTCGCGGTTCCGCAGCGGCACGACGCGTTAAAGCCCCCCCCACCCCACGTCTCTATTCCGAGGCACACTTTGGCTGACAACAGGAGGACATCAAAATAGCAAAAAGTGAGACGCTAACAGAATATTTCCAAAACACACCACTCTCCCCGTCTCTCGCTCTCACTTCCATCGCTCAAGCCCAGTGTGGTGGCAGCTATCGAGTGTGCAGGCGGTGCAACTGCACTGGGGCAGAGGGGGGGGGCAGACAGAGGGGCCCAGATAACCCCGGCTATAAAAGAGAGCTGGCGTGCCGACCACAATCCCCTGGACAATAAAAAAATAAACAACACTTAACAGTGAAACTGCGTTTGGACACTACTCTTTATTTTCTCCAACTTTCATTTCTATTACCGAGACGCTAATTTGTCGTGTGTCGTCGTCGTCGGCGGCGGCGGGAGGGAGGGGGCGTACGAATGGGTGGATGTGTGGGTGTCGTGGTGAAGAATCGGAAACGAAACGAAGCCACAATTTTTGTTTTTTTTTGGGGGGGGGGTGGGGTGGGTTGGGGCGGTGCCGACGCCGCAGCCAGCTGCGTCCCCACGGCCGCCCGCCCGCCACTCACCTCCCTTGCAGGGCGTGCGGTGTTGGCTGTGCTGAGCTCTGTAGCCTTCGATCACCTCCCACTCGCCGTTGTCCCTCTTGATGGGGAAGCAGACGCTCAGCACGTGGTTGCACGGCTTGATGATCCTCAGGATTCCGCGGACGCGCTTGCGCTTCTCATCCACGGAGTCTCTGGAGCGCATGTCGTCCACCAGCTTGTCCTCCAGGATGCTCGCCCCGCGGTCGAAGAAGCCCTCGACCATGTGGAAGAAGTTGGGGTCGTCCTTGTCCGGGTCGTCGTGAGCGGCGGTCGTGGGGGGTGCGGGGGGGTGGTGGCCGTGGCTGCTGTACGAGGCGGCCGCGAGGCGAGGCGGCTGGAGCCGGCCGCCTGCGCGGCTCCCCACGGCGACGCCTCCAACGCCGCCGACTCCGTGGTGGTGGTGCAAACGAGACTTCACTTTGCTCACGAGGCGCAGCATGGTGGTGTGCTGCTGTGGTTTGTGTGGGTGGTGTGCTGCTGTGGTTTGTGGGCGGTTTGCTGCAGTGGTTGTGGGTGGTGTGCTGCTGTGGATGGTGTGCTGCTGTGGTTTGTGGGTGGTGTGCTGCTGTGGTTGTGTGGTGGTGTGCTGCTGTAGCTGCTGCTGTTGTAGCTGCTGCAGCTGCTGTTAATGATTGTGCTGCTGGTAATGCTGCTGCTGGTGATGCCGGCGACGATACGTCTTTGGTTGTTCTAGTAATGCCGCTGCTTGTCCTGTGCTTCTTTGTTGCTATTGTGCCGACAGGCGTGTCTGACTGTACGGTGTGTTTAATGAATTATTACAATCGCTGCGACTCATTGACGCTATTCGTGTTGTTCTTGTCGACCACGGCGATGGTGCGTGGTGGAGACGGGAGGCGATGAACACGCAGACGTAACCCCTGACGCAATGCAGGCAGAAAAGACGACACGGCACCGCGAGAGAGCTGCACGACACGACAGGGATGGCGTGGATGTGAGGATAGAGAAGAGAGAGAGGGGAGGGAGAGAGAGAGAGTCCACAGAACGAGCGGAGAGACGACGCGAAGATCGGCTGGATCCCGGGACTCAACAAAAGTTGAGACGAAGCAATGAAGCCAGGAACGATGGCATCTGTGGGAGTGTGGGAGGGAGGGGGGTAGCTCCTTGTTTTTGAAGTCGCGGATGGAGGCGTTGCCTCCTGTGGGTGTGAGCCCCCATCCAACGAATTGCCGGCGTCTCACGGAAGGCAAGCCCGCACGCAACACAACAGACAAAGGTCACCCGTACGGACCTGGGCAAGACTCTCGGGTCAAGTGCTGTTAGCGAACGAAGTGGGTTGGGTTGGCCAGCATCCACGCCCCCCCGGCCGCCTTTGTCTCCCGAGTGACGATGTCTACCAAGGCCTTCAATATAATATATATTAGGGGGACACACCCCCCCAATATTCAAATATGCTCAAAATGTCCCCCCCCCCAATATATTATGCTATAAAAAATAATTGCTATGCTATGTAAATAAAAGCAACACTTTGCTAAACCCTGGCCACAATAACTGAACTTGTCTTCATAATTATAAAGAAAGAACAGAGCAATGTAACACAATACACTGTTAGACATTGTAAAAAATAAATAAAAAGTCCATCCCATGTGTTAGTGAATTTTTAAATATTTTAGGCAGGAAATGAGTTTTCAGATTTAGACATTTTTTCTGGGTTGGGACCCCCTGGAAGATTTGGTCCCCCCCCCCCCAATGGTGGGCTACGGCCTTGATGTCTACACACAAATATCACCCGTGTAGACTATTAGCGTGCAGCTATGAAGGCCGGCACGTGAACACGAGTTTGCCTAGTGATCAGCACACTCTAGCGCAAGGCGAAATCTTTACAATGTTCTCCAGATTATAAGGCACACATCACAAACAATTGTGCCCGGTGTCAAATAAAGTTACATTATCCATGTTTTGTCACACACAGATATCGAATTAGAAGACGCACCTTTACAACTTTGGCATTAAAATATAGAGGAGGGGGGGTGGCTCTTATAGTCGGGTGAATACGGCATTCATTTGTGTGCGTGCAGTTTGGTTTCGTGTTGAGTGGCGCCGTTCGGAGCAGGCAGACCAAGCAATTGCTTAGGAAGCCCAAGTAGTGCAAGGGGGGGTCCCGGATTTATTAAAATATGGTTAATCAAATATCAGCTGAAAGTAAAATCCTAATAAACATAAGCTGATTATTATAAAGCCAAACATCCCCTTAATCAACATCTTCCCCTGCATCCCTTTTATTTCATATTACTCTTTGTCCTCTTGATTACAGATTTATCATCGCACTGCATCACCGTCTCATCATCAGAAGCTCGCACCTAATCATCTCACCACATCTCTATTTCTGTCAAAGTTTATCTTAATCTCACTCCATAAATATCCCTTGTCTGACATTCCTTCTTTCATCTCACTGGGATTTTATAAACTGAAAAAGGCAATGTGCCAACAACCACCACTGGGTGGAGTGGCTGGGAGGCAGCCAGAAGAAGTGTGTTGATGGGTGGTAGGGTGGGTCATGGAAATGCACGAAATAAATGAACGTGATGGGAGTATGAACAAATACTTTAGAAGCATCATCACGAGGCAGGAAAAACAGGTATGACTGAGCAGATCATTCCACACGCCCTACTTTATATGTCGTCTTCCATCGGGTAAGAGACGTCAAAAGTAATGACAGCGTTTGTGTTTACATGGGGCCAAACGACTTTGTGACCAAAGTAATAGTGTACTCTTTGGTTCTATTCGGTAAAGTCACGTAGGTAAAAAAATACGTGACTTTACCGAATAGAACCAAAGAGTATGGATCCTTGCAGTCACGAAAGCTTCAAATCTAGAATCAAAGTAATAGTGACCCACGTACAATCCACTCAATAACAATAATAAAGGCCTCCCCACGGTGTGTAAGTCGTGGTGGTTGGTGGTGGTGATGGGGGTTGTTCAATCACACTTCACCGTCTTAGAATGTAAAAACAGCGCCTACTGGACCGATTCATCACCATAGGAACAAAATCGTCGAATTGCGGGGAGGGGGGGGCGGATGAATCATTACAGCCCGAGTAATGATCGATCCACTGATGGATGACTGTCTCTCCATACCGTGTGGGTCATGGTGGCTATTTGACATCACGCTGGTTGGTAAAGGGGTTGCCCAGGACCAGTCCGGATATCGCTCGCCACTGGGAATCGATCACTCGGGGTGGGCCGGTTTAATATGACTGCGCTATCCACTGCGCCACCACTCGTACCCCTGATACGGTATATTGCACGACAACATGACACTATGCACACCACAGGATATTCGTTGCGTGCTCAATGGCTAAACGCCAGGGTTGACCACATACAGCTCAAGTATTTTACTGCACTACCACACACACATAATTATGTGGTGTTAAGTGCAGTCTCCAATCCTGATTAACGCTCTCTGGCATACACTTTTTGTACTATGAAGTAGGCTCATTGACCGAAATGTCGCCTAACACCGCGCCGCCAGTTACCCAGCTAGTTTCGGTGGCAACGGCCCGCAGCCGCTCACAACGGAGTCACTGTTTGGGTGGCAAGGAGACCATCCAGCCGCCAGCCAGGAAACTGGAGGCACAGATTATGAATAATTACAATTATTATAAACAGATTATTATTATTAATACGTAGTAGTCGCATGATACATTTTACCGGACGCACCCCTTGCATGCTGATCTGTGTTTGTACAATAGCATTATCTGGCAGGAACGAGCGCTTTGCAACGCGCATTAGGAATGCACATGGGAGTGACATGACAGAGGCTCCCAAAAGCGCACCAAGATGTTTACTGTGAAACCTGAGCCCGCGTTCTGAGTGCCGCTGCACGTGGCTGCCCAAAGCCTCTTGAGAATGCCGTGCGCAGTGTATGTTACCCGTGGCAGGCCGTAACCAATCCGCTGCTGGATGGGAAGCCTCCCCAATGCGGTCCAGCGATGTGTAACAAATCCACCTTGGCACCTGCACGCGAGCCGATTTAATCGCTCCATCTCCTCCGCGGGGCGTTGTTCTCTCGTACACGTTCGAGCCTTCTGCCGACATGTCCTGCCCAAGGCAACTACTACACCTTTATATAGTAATTGGTTTTTACCCTTTTATCTGGCGCAAAAACTGACACCTTTATACAAGGGATCATGTTTGCAATAACCACAACACAAGTAGTCAAAATGCAAACAAAAGAGACAACTCTGATAATAATATGCACTCTCCTTGAATTTGATTGGTCCACACCCGAGACGGCTTTTCTTAGAGCCCAGTCTCCACTGGTGTTGGACCAGAAGACGCCAAAAGGCGTACAACTTAAAAACAGCGCACCATCAGAGTAATGAGAGCTCGGGGTAAGCACTTACATTATGAGACCTCATTTGCCAGTAACAAGATCTAGTAATATGTTTTTACACTTTTATCTGGCACAGAAACTGACACCTTTATACAAGGGATAATGTTTGCAATAACCACAACACAAGTGGTCAAAATGCAAACACCTTTCTCACCACGTTGAATTGTCATCCACCTGTGTGTTTTCAGAAATAATCCGCGTCTTCTTCTTCTTCCTCTCTTCCCCAATGTATTTCCAAGCACGCGCCTCTCCGTGCATCTTTTGCACACTGTCGATGTTTTATTTTTCCTCCACCCATCGCTTTCTTCCGTACACGATGGACATGGTGGGCGGAAAGTCCCTATACCCGTTTATTGTTACGAGAATAGTGGATAATTATGAATATTGTGTTGTGCGTGTGTACGCCTCGCGTTTCTGTGACGACCACTGCGGCTGTTGCTTGACTGCCGTCTGCTGTTTTGCTGTGTGCAGGACAGTTGTATGGCGTTTACAACATGTGGTGGGAGCGGTGGCGCTGCGGTTAGCGCACTGCGCAAAAAAACCACCCCGACCATCTGAGTTCGACTACCGACCACTGTCAACGCAGCAGCAGCATGACCGATGCATTTACTTATAGAGGCTTCACGATTGTTCCATTGATCTCACTTCAACGGTAAACCCATAATGCAATGTGTCAGGAACATGTTTGTATATATACTTTTCATACAAACGAGTTTATTCAGTCATATTTTGGATTGTTGAAGGGGTTGTCTGTTCCTCTACAGTTCCTATTCGGTAACTCACCATTCATATGCCAATTTAGAAACTGTTAATCAGGAAACATTTATCAAATGTAATTATACTGGTAGGAACCTCCTGGTTACACCACTGTGGGCTGGTGTAACCGTCCGTCGTGCATCCAAAAATGGGAGGGGTGGGGCTGGGTGGAGAGGGGAGGGTGGGGAGGGGCTGGGTGGGGAGGGAGGGGCTGGGTGGGGAGGGGAGGGTGGGGAGGGGCTGGAAGGGGAGGGTGGGGCTGGGTGGGGAGGGTAGGGCTGGGTGGGGTGGGAGGGGAGGGTGGGGAGGGGCTGGGTGGGGAGGGTGGGGCTGGGTGAGGGGTGGGAGGGGAGGGGCTGGTCACCCCGTGGTGCCCTTATAAAACTCAACGTTTCACCTACTCACGCCGGCTTGTGCCCGCCCTCACAGTCGGGCATATTTGCGGAATACACCACGTGGTGCCGCCGTTGACCATGGCCATTGACCGAGCAACCCAACGTTCCTACCAGCTCCCTCCGCAGGAATGTGTTTATCGGACACTATGGTGTAAAGTGCAGTCTTCAACCATCTATTATCCACTCTATTTATTGGCCATGAAAACGGGTGATTTCCTGAAACGTCGCCAATTATGTTTCTTCTCAAGGCCATTGGGTTATTTACCAACATGTTGAGGTTATTTTTGTGGCCTTTAGATGCGGGAGGCATGGGGGGTGGTGTTCGTCTTTGTGCATGTGTTGTGCGAGTCTCTGGCGTTCTCGATGTCAGTTTAACACGCAATAGGCTTTCGCGACCAATATCATCCATAACATAGGTTTTTTTGGGTTAGATCGCGTAAATATATGAATGTGTCGTTAAAACCAGCCACCACCCGACACAGCCAACTAGTAAGGGTTGTCACGTAAACAGAACGTGCCAATTCGTCACTAGTACAGCACACCGGTGTGTTGGAGGGCCAAGCCACAACATTTACAATCTGAGCACGACGTTTCGCCAGTAATTACAACCAGCTTCATCAGGAGACAGCCACATTTGTGGAGAAGTCCATCTGTTTCGTTTCTAACTGTCCTTCCCCCGCACCTCCGATTAGCACGGTTGGCTACACACGGTGCGACAGAAGTTCAGCACACATACATCGTCAAAAATGCTCGCTAACAGCACTTGCCCCAAAAGTCTGTTAAGGCTATGGCTGGAGGGGGGGGGGGGGGGTTACTTTGTCTTTGTCTCGGTTATCCCCCCAAAAAACTACAAAGGCAATGAGCGGTGGCGCGTCTTGTTTTGCTGCTCCATTTGTGTCTCTGCAAGCGGTGCGCGCGAGCGAGGTGGGAGCCGCAGCGCGCGCCTGCAAACATCGCCCTGCGTGCTCCCTCCCTCGTGCAGGGAGGGAGGGAGGAAGAGGGGAGAGGTGATTTGTGAAGGAATACCACCCCCACCGCCACCATCAACCTCTCTCTCTCTCCTCTCTCTCGCCCATCCCCCATCACACTCAATCACCACAATGTCCTTGCCCTTCGACAGGACAACGCCCCGCCACCAGTGCTAGGTAGGACAAGGCTCCCGGTTTTTCTGTGTAGGGGGCCGTCCATAAATGACGTCATGCACCTGGGGGGGTCATATATTTGTGACTTTACCGAATAGAACCAAAGAGTATGGATCCTTGCAGTCACGAAAGCTTCAAATCTAGAATTGAGGGTGGGGGGGGTTGAGAAATGTGACGTCACATCAAAATGCGCAACTTTAAATATAGACAATACGTTCTACTTAATTAAATCGACTTTTTAATCAATGTTTTATCCTACAACATCAGAGTGCAGCGGGACATTAAATACGCACTACAATGACAATAGTTTAAAGCGATTTGAAGCACGTTTTATTTTTGGGGGGGGGGGCAGAGCTTTGTGACGTCATATTTGAGGGGGGTTTGACTTTTTGTGGCGCCGTGTGACGATGGGGGGGGGGGCGCAAAAATCGTCCAAAATCGCGTGACGTCATTTATGGACAGCCCCTTGCCCTACAACAGGACAACACCTCGTCAACAGTGCTAGGTAGGACAAGGCTCCCGGTTTTTCCGTGCAGGCTGCAAGGCAGTGTTCTTTATTGGCCCCCAACAATACACAAATGGTGAAAACACCCACCACCACCATCATCGTGCTGTGCAAATGGTGAAAACACCCACCACCACCACCATCATCATGCTGTACAAATGGTGAAAACACCCACCATCATCATGCTGTACAAATGGTGAAAACACCCACCACCACCATCATCATTGTGCTGTACAAATGGTGAAAACACCCACCACCACCATCATCATTGTGCTGTACAAATGGTGAAAACACCCACCACCATCATCATCGTGCTGTACAAATGGTGAAAACACCCACCACCATCATCATCATGCTGTACAAATGGTGAAAACACCCACCACCACCATCATGCTGTACAAATGGTGAAAACACCCACCATCATCATCATGCTGTACAAATGGTGAAAACACCCACCATCATCATCATGCTGTACAAATGGTGAAAACACCCACCACCACCATCATGCTGTACAAATGGTGAAAACACCCACCATCATCATCATGCTGTACAAATGGTGAAAACACCCACCATCATCATCATGCTGTACAAATGGTGAAAACACCCACCACCACCATCATCATGCTGTACAAATGGTGAAAACACCCACCACCATCATCATCATCATGCTGTACAAATGGTGAAAACACCCACCACCATCATCATCATTGTGCTGTACAAATGGTGAAAACACCCACCACCATCATCATCGTGCTGTACAAATGGTGAAAACACCCACCATCATCATCATGCTGTACAAATGGTGAAAACACCCACCATCATCATCATCATGCTGTACAAATGGTGAAAACACCCACCACCATCATCATCATTGTGCTGTACAAATGGTGAAAACACCCACCACCATCATCATCGTGCTGTACAAATGGTGAAAACACCCACCATCATCATCATGCTGTACAAATGGTGAAAACACCCACCATCACCATCATCATGCTGTACAAATGGTGAAAACACCCACCATCATCATCATGCTGTACAAATGGTGAAAACACCCACCACCACCATCATCATCGTGCTGTACAAATGGTGAAAACACCCACCACCATCATCATCATGCTGTACTCATGGTGAAAACACCCACCACCATCATCATCATGCTGTACAAATGGTGAAAACACCCACCATCATCATCATCGTGCTGTACAAATGGTGAAACACCCACCATCATCATCATGCTGTACAAATGGTGAAAACACCCACCACCACCATCATCATCATGCTGTACAAATGGTGAAAACACCCACCACCACCATCATCGTGCTGTACAAATGGTGAAAACACCCACCACCACCATCATCATCATGCTGTATAAATGGTGAAAACACCCACCACCACCATCATCGTCATCGTGGTGTTGTCAAACCCCAACAATGGTTTCAAATGGTGTGGTGGCCCTCACACTGATGTCTTATCGGCGAAAGTGGCCCCCGGTTCAGATATTCGTCACTGACGTTGTCCGTGAGTGGGAATCGAACTCTGGTTGCCGGGTTCGTAGAAATGTGTGCAGACCCACTACACTACCGCTCCCACGAAAATCTCTCATGTACACCGTCTCCATCGAAGATCCCACGTATAACCTGAACAGACTATTGGGACAAGTGCTGTTAGCGAACATCTATGAATGCCGGCACGGCACACGAGGGGGTGGGTGGACAGCAGCACGCCCGACCGCCTTTGTCTCCCCAGTAGCGATGTTTACACACCGCACCACGTACTCATTTGAGGCTGAGTCGACCTAGGGGAGACCCATGATCGGTCTCCATCAGACACACATCACAAGACCCCCTTTACTGCACCTCCCTGCTGTGACTCGTCAGGGGAAATGTATTCGGGGGCCGTGTTGGGTTTCCACGCTAAAGTAATTTCATCCACTCACTCTGCAGCGCCTTTGCCAAAAGCATCGTGCAAACCCAGCAGCATTTGTTTAACAAACATGACTCACGTCGATTATGAGACCATCGATGTCGAAAACGGTTCCAGAGCTTGCTAGCTGAAGCGGATGCTTCTGGATAACGTGTCTGCGAGGCTGATGGACTCGTGTTTTATTAATGTGGAGATACAGAAGGGCGTTTATGCACTACCACCAGCGTGAAGCCTACAGTGCGATGAATACACAATGTTGAGTTAATTGGTATACAGTAGGCTAATAGCATAATTCTAACATTTCTTATAGGAAGTGATGACTATGGTAGCACATCTGAGATGGTTAATATTTGCTCCACTTATATTTGACTGTCGCTACAATCCACTTATTGGAAAATACCTTGTTGCTGTGAATAACGCAGGAGAGCGCCACCTTGTCCAGTACTTTCTTCATGTAAAGTGTCACCGTTCTATCTTCATCAGTGGTTTTACATTTATTTCAATAAAGCTGTAAAGTCGGGCTCAATATCCACATGAGAAAAACAATTCACTTGCAAAAAGTTCGACTGACAAATGGAGATGTTTAGTTTTGCTGTATATAACGTTGTACATGCGAAGTGCATCGCACGATCGTTAAAGCAGCAGCTAGGCGATGGGTATCCGTTGCCCAATATCACTTAATACTGTAGAATATTTATTGCAAATATATTTTATGTAACCGACCGGTGGAAAGATGCACCAACTCTCCTAAACATTAAACTATGATACAAGCATTAAATCGTGTTTTGAGAAATGTTAATAGATTCATTTCATCCCTGCAGCCACTCGAGGTGCTATCATTCATCATAAATAGCGATTCAATGTTTTTACAAGCATTGACAGGGGTGGTGGGAGGGTAGTGAATCGTTCCACTGAATTAAATCAATACATATTCAAGTGTATATTTTATTTATGAAAAAAACACGGTACAATAAGCAGAAATGCAATTATAAGCAAAAGTACGTACGACAAATACAGTTTCTCGTGTAGGCTATAAAATGTTCAATGTATGTGCGCCTAGTGACACTGATAGTCTCAGCACATAAGAGTGCATGCTTACAATCTTCAGTTTTTTTCTTCCGAAATGCTATGGCTGCACTATCGGTGTGGCATGTCACGAGATGAATACAAACGGATATCATGAGTTGAGCCATTCGGAACCTATGCTCGAGAACGGCTTGGGGAAGCGGATATCACAGAACTACATCCTGAGATGCCTCTAGGCGACCTCTGAATTCTCACCATTAAAGGGAACCACTTTCCCAACCATCCTGCCAACAAGGACAATGTTCATGGCAAGACAAGTCAAACCAAGGAGCTGGAATTTAGCCAAATTAAGTGCTGAACCAAATGTTGTGGATTTTTTTTGCATGCAGCCATTTGGTGACCAAAGACAATTCACCACACGAGAACCCGATTTAATCACAGGCCACAGACTGGATTTGAACCCAGGTTCTCAGCAGTGCCAGCTCGGTGCTTTGACCCGAGCCAACCGGCCACCTCACTCTGCAATATCCTAACCATATCCCTGATAATCTGTGAACAGCAGCACTCTTCATCGGGGTGTACTGTCCATGGTTTCCATAACAATTTATGCACTTTTTATGCAACCAGATTTTGACCATGATCAGGTGCGAGGTGCTGAAATGACAAAACGCCCCCATCTGTTCTATGCGCGTTATACCTGTACGTTGACGCCATCTCCCGATGGCTCGAAGGCTTATTTACACTCGCGCTTTAAATTTCGTTTTCATGACACGATTCCCAAATTCCAGTTCTCTTGACCCATAGCACTGCATCTTTTCCAATCTTCTTTGTTCAATTGCATACGGAATTGTCACACACTGCCTGTACCTCATTTTTAGACAAGTGCCCTGAAGACAATTCCAATTAACAGAAATCTTCTGCGACCCGTGTATGCCATGAGAAACACGTAGAGGAGCGGTACAGTAGTGGTTATGGCACTGCGCTCCGCACCTGGTGAACCAAGTTCGACTGCTGCTCATGCCCAACATAAATGGCGAATATCTGAACCGGTCCTGGGCCTTCCCTAGGTTGACCTGTGCTGGAGTGACAAAGGCAACAGGGCATGGTGCTGGACACACCACCCCCGTGTGCACCTTTATCGGGTGCTTGCTAACAGCATTTCCTATAACAGCCTGAGAAAGGCTAGATGGGGGTGAGAGAGATGATTTTAATGAAGAGATTTTGTCTCTGTGTATGGGTCTCCTGTCCAAATTTGAATCAGTGCTATGTCACAAGGGACGTATTTACCAATCATCAAACACATGCAGATGTAACAAGTTGTTGTTTACGAGGATTGCAAGTTTGGGAACACTGCCCTGATACTTTAATGCATGGATATTCACAGCTTCATGAGATATAAAACGACACAAATTGCCTACATTTGCTACATGGCTCAACTGCCAATACTCACCAAGCCAGCAAAGCGGACGGAGCTCCTACATTTTTGAAATTTTATTTTCCCTTAGCGTTCTCAATGGTTTTCGGGAAAATAACACACTCGGACAAACACGCGCACGCGCATCGCTTCTCTACAGCTCCCGCTCCGTTTGGCTGCTGCTTTTCTTAAGCGGAAGGCTTTTCTTTATTGCCCTGGATGTTGCCAATTTATCTTCAGTCTTGGCTGCGGGTTTAGGTTTGGCTTTCGCCTTTGGCTTTGCCTTGCCCTTTGTTGCCGCTCTCTTGGTCGCGGTCAGCTTTCTGCGGGCTGCCCTGACATCGACCAGGTCTCCTCGGCCTTCCTCGCGCATCTGCTCACGCCACGCCGCCATCTCTCGCGTGTAACGCACGCGGTCGTCTTCCGCCAGCTGCTGATATTTCTGCACGCCCCAACGTCGCACGCGCGCACACAAAAAGACAAAGATCACCCGTATAGCCTCAACAGACTTTTGGGGAAATTGCTGTTAGCGAGGAGCACCTACAAAGCCCGCCACAGCACACAAGGGGGTAGGGATGGCCAGCACCACGCCCAGCCGCCTTTGTCTCGCCAGTGCAATATTTACACACCGCAGTAGGTATTAGAGGCCGAGTCGACCTAGGGGAGGCCCAGGACCGGTTCAGATAATCGTCACACACATACGCACGTCAGTCTCCTTCAGATTCTAATGTCAACGCTTTCCGTCAATCTAGATGTAAATACACAACACGTATCGCCCAACCACATTGCAAATTAAATACTTTGTAATATAATATAACCCACACATACGCGACGTGATTTTTCTACACCTGTGTTTTGATTTTTTTGTCATTTTTCAGGAACGCTATTCCATTTGAGCTATTGGCATCATGTCATGAGACAGTGTCCATGTCATATCCCTTGAAGAGCAGTCAAACCCTGCCTTTTAGAGAACGGCAAAAAAAAGCGACCACAGAAAGGCAGCTGATATCCCCTAAAGTGACATCTGGTTTGCATATCAGAGGGCAGCACTTTCCCACCTTACTTGCAATATGAGAGTAAAAAATGTTCATCACATAACAGTAAAACCAATATTAAATTCTCCGTGTTTAATCAATCAATCAATCTTTATTTAATGTGCCAATATCACCCTCAAGAGCAGGAATCAGTGCACATTACAACAGAATGGGAACGGTAGAAGAGGCAACAGGAGTGAAAAAAGAAACCCGTCATGCCTTCAGCGGCTAACACCGACTGAGCAAACTAAATTGCAACCGCGCGCGACGAATAGCATAAGAAAGGTAAGTAGTAAATACAAATAAATAAATTGGATTTTACCTAGGTTAAGTGCTGAATCAAATTTCACCCAATGGTTTTTGTGCAGTCATTGGTGACTCGGCTGGGACCATAAACTCACTACACTCAAAACCCCAGTTTAATCACAGGCAGAGCTGCCTGATTTTTAAATCAAGTTCAAAGCGGTCCCCACAGTTCAGCACTTCAACCGTTTTGTGTTCGAACACGTTTCGTATTTTGTGTGTGGCATTTAATCCATTAAAATAAAACGAACCCATTAAATCACTATAATCCACAAGCGAACGCCTCACCTGCTTCTGCATGTCGTCGAGTCCCGACCATTCGTCACGCAGCCGGATCAACTTTTCCTGCGCACGACAACAACGCATGCGTGTCAACACTCCGCGCAGCGTCAACGCTTGCTACGTGCGCCGTGCAAAGGCCTCGATTCCTCGGCACGCGCGCGTTGATGCCGGGTGAGCAACGTTACGGCCGACGCGCCCTTCTCACCGGTTGCGAGGAACCCGTCATCCGCTTGAAGTTATCTGCCATGAAGATGTTGAATGGAACACTCGGCCTCTTGGGCTTACCCAGGGCAGTCAGCTCCTGAGGGCACGGAAAAGGGGGAAAACAAGGAATACAAATCGTGAATATGCACGGATTAGACTCCTGCACCCATGGGGTGCTCCAGCACAGGGAAACCGGTAGGCAGGGTCAACCGTGCGGAAGAGTTCCACACTTGGTATTTGTCTATCGTGCGCAGTTAGCAAATATGGTCGTGGTAATAATTTTTCACGAGAGGATACGATCAGTTTTATATATGTTTGTAATGGTATATCACGCTTGTATTGTAATGTTTTTTTGCTTCACTGTACTGCTTGTACGAATGAAGATAACTGAAACATTCTTCAACTGCAGTTTTAATCAACGTAACCATACCACAAGTCTTCTTAATCATTGCAACTTCACAATCGTTGACGATTACAACGCACATGCTGTCAGTTATGATAAACATATATTTTTTTATTTGACAAACTATAAAAATGTTGTCTTCTAATTGCCATACTTTTAATTACTCTGGAAAATGTTTTACATAGCACATATTGAATGGACAATATTTTTGTTTAGAACTTTAATCATTGTGCTTTTGTTATTTCATAGTCAGATAATCAAATTTGAAAAATACGAGCCAACGTACTCACGATATACCGATGTTTTTCAAAACGGATGATACCATTATGACGAGGCTTATACCATACGATATACAATGTGGTATCGTCATTTAACGACAAACCCAGTAGCAAGCCTTGTCTTACTTTTCCAGGCAGTACACTATGGTTAGACATGGAGGCATCCCATCGATAGCCCAATAAGATTCTGGCAAAATTCAGATACAGTCTGTTCTCCTATAACGCCGTGTGTTTTCATAATGCGAATTGGATATAACGCGATTAAAATATTAGGGAACACATTTTTTCATAGCGCAGATGCGATTTTGACATAATGCGATTGAGTGAACAGAACTATGTCGCGCCAATATAAGTAAGTTGTTGTACGGTAGCATCACACAAGGCGGGATGCTGCTGGATGCTACTAGATGCTACCCACGTGCCTCAGTTTTTGTTCAGCCTGCTTACGCACCTCACGTGTTATCGCGGACTGTGCTTTACCCCATGTTATATATTACTAGCTTTACTACCTGGCTTGGCCCGAGACTTGGATTCTTTAGTTCTTTCGGTAAAGTCACGTAGGTATAAAATGAAATAAATCACGACGTTTCGGTCGCAACACAAGCGTCCGTCATTAGGTGAGAAAGCATTATTCTTGTCTTGGATTAATGCACGGCCGACGCGGAGGGTGGGGGGGGGGGATGCGTGACGTCAGCAGGCACACTGCGTAATGCTGCCGCATGCGGGTGACATCACAGATGTGACGTCACCACTCACTTGCCATGCAATATATTACATACATTATTGCGCCCCCCCCTAAATACAAAAGTCTATTTTTAGACTTTTAGTCGACAGTCTGGAAGCTACCCACATGCCACATTTCAAGTTTGTTGCATGTTGGGAAGTATGCTAAACATTTCAAACAGACACACATTCACAAATGTACCTTTCATATATATTTATTTTAACGCGTGTTTTCACAACGCGGTGTTCTTCAGGAGCGGAACTACTACCGCGTTATAGGAGAGCAGACTTACCTTCTTTCGCATGCGAGCCAAGCGCCTGGTCCTTTTCTTTTTGTTCGCATCCTTCCTGGCCTTGATCTGCTCTGGCGACAGCCTGCTGAGGAATCGCTGGTACTCATCTTGGTATTTCTGCATGTCAGCTTTTGCACTCTCTTGATATCTCTGTCGATCAGCAATGGGGGGTGTGGGGGGGGGTGACATCGGTTTCCCTCTTAATCAGTGAGTTTTTCAATTAGAAATAGGGAGCGATTACTTCACCTGTGAGATAAAACTTGTTTTAATAAGGTGTAGTATTTTTTTATATACCTCCTCTGAATTTTCCACAACATTTTTGTTACTTGGATAAACAAAACAAGTTTGTGCAAAATTATCTAACTGGAAACCCATTTACTTAACGTGAAATAGGCAACACAGCATGAGCAATATTCTAATGTTAAGTCTCGCAGCGCTGACAGCTATTTAAAGTTATACTTTTTAGCAAGCTGCTTTAAATTACATTTCTTGTTCATTAAGCGATTAAAGTAAAATGAAGTTACAAATTACGCATTACTGCATATTATCTTATTTAATGAGGCATGTGCTTGTTAATTTGAGCTGTAATTAACACAGTAGGTTTTTGGATTGCACCATAACCCTCCATCAATGGTACTAAGAGTGACGGGGTACCTCCTTGTGTACGTCTGACATTTTTCTCCATTGCTCCGATATGTTCTTGATGATTTCTGTTTGTTTCATTTCTGCATTCACCAAAACGCACAAGCAAAAGCATATATTAATACAGGTAGTCCTCCACTTACGATCTAGATGCGTTACGACGACCCCATCGTAAGTAAAAATATCGTAAGTCGAAGATGGCCTAGCCTACCCAGGAGTCTTAAAGAACGGTGATAATTTAGCAAAACATAGCAATTTACAGTACCGTACTGTATAAACTATATACTGTATGTATTTATTAATTACAATACTGTATTGCACAGTAAAATGCAAAGTAAAAAAACAAGGTACAGTGCACGCGCTAACACCGAGACAACTTCACTCCGTCGACCGCTGGTGAGAGTGAGGCATCACCACACAAGGCGGGAGATGCGTACATCCCGGCAGCGTCCCAACGTTCAGTATCGTACCTCGTACGCTGCTGCGTTTGCCTGCCGCGCGAAATTTGAAATATTTTAAATTTTGTCGTATCGCTATCGCGTTTGTAAGATAGAAATATAGTAAGTCGGAGCATCGTAACTCGGGGACTATCTGTACTCTAATAATACTCAAATTAAACATATATGTATACATTTTCACAAATGGTTGGCCCAAAATGCTTAACAAGCTGAGACTATTTTATCGGCTATTTAGCAATTCTATTAGATTAGAGATATCTGCGTCATGCCATGAGATGAAATGTCCATTCGTAACTCTTGCAAAAAAAGCAGTGTTGCCCTGTGTTCGAGTGCAGCTCGTGGAAGCAGATATGGCATCACTACTTGAGATGCCTTCAAGTGAACTCTTATCCCCTGCAAGGGGACTGCACTTTCCCCACAAGCCCTTCTAAAGAGATATGGGGCACAGATATCCCGTTGCAAGACCTTCCTGCAAACAGAGCATTGAGTATTTCAAATAATTGAAGCTTTCCTCGGTAAACGAAGAGCATTATTATTTGAGCCGCTTTTGACCAAATCACCAAGAAATGTAGTCTCATCAGATCTCAGAATCTAAGCTTGGTTGCGCCTGGATAATACTTGGATGGGCGAACACCACGTTGGGCATGTTGTAGTCATAGGGCTGTGGGAATAAAGAGTAGGCAGCAGAAGGAAATGCAGAAAATCAATTGTAATACAATATTTCGATTCTTCCACGTCTTGTGTCAACCCACACTGACAAATGCGGTGAAGTATGGTTAAATAAACACCAGACCTGCAAGAGATGGAGAAATTCTAATCCAGTAGTGAAATGACAAACGACCGCACATGTACATTGTTGTGTCTGCAAGGCAATGTGTTATTATTTGTCCAAGTTGTGTGCTGATGTCTATTCAAGCTATTGGTGCATTCCGCAAAACTGATTTGGTTCCTGTGTTATGGACAGCTTCTTGTGGCTGGGTAGATTAGCAACTTAAAGGTGAATATTCAGATTAGATATACAATTGCTCTGATTGATGCGTGGTGGATTACATCAATACCTCCAATGAATTTTTAAGAGTTCACAATGGTTCATTACTATGTGGTCGATGAAGATTAGATTTAATGCGTTCCATTGTTTTCAAGGTAGATTCAATCCCAGGGGGTCTTCAGTGGGATTTGCAATAAGATGCTTGTCCAGAACAATTGATGTTCGTCAAAAACTTTCACCATTTCTCCGAGGAACTCAAAAGCCTGAATTTTTAAGGGCTCTAGCTATGCTTCAGAATGACTTGCGTGATGAAAATGCATTTGCTGTGCACCAACCAGGGTACTGCAGAGTCTTTTGGGGCCGCTGTTCGGCCAAGAAGCGGAAGAAGGAGGTGAGAGGCCGCTTGGGCGGCGTGGGACTCGGGACAGCGGATGGACCAGAAATAAGCCGCACAGCCATGCAGCTCACTTGTGGCCAGCTAAACACACGCATCACACACACACACACCCAGAACGACAAGGAGGTTACATAGGGGGGTTGGAATATTATTTGGTATTACCGTTACCTGTGTTTAAGCCACCAAGAGAGCGCACGGGAGTGGCGAAGCATTGGTTGGCATGGACGCTGGTCCAAAGGAGTGGAATTGGGTTTCCCCATTTGGATTCCTTCCCCCCTTCGTATCTCAGCGCGTTAGCCCATGGGGCCCGGTGCAGTTGCACCGCCTGTACACTCGCTAGCAAGGCCACTGGTGCTTAACTTGCTATCGAGGTCACGAGTTCAAATGCTATTATTAAAGGGATGTCGACTCAGCCCGTCATCTCTCCAGGATCAGACAATGAGCACCGTTTTTGGGAGGATAATAGTGGTAAATATAATGCGTAAGCTGGTAACTGCCACGTAAAATGTGGAATTTCGACCAAGTATGCCTCCAGAGACGAGTGTTGTCCCACACTAATTTAAGCAGGAATATACAGTACTTTGTTTACGACCCATGACCAGATAACGCTGAATGTGGTAGTAACTCGGAAGCTAAGTAGGGTTAAAAAAACAAACGCCCGGACAGTGCATGGATGGTGCGACCATCATGAGCCATGTAGATGGCAGTGAAGCAAAATTAATCGACGCACCGCGCTCCTGCTCCAACATCTGTTCCCCGCCTTCGTCACCCCGCACTGATGAGAGTTGTCAAGTTCATACTTGATCATTGGTTTTTTACCCTTTTATCTGGCAACAAAACTGACACCTTTTTTTTACAAGGAGTCATGTTTACATTGACCACAATACCTGCAGTCGGAACGCAAACAAAAACTCTGATAATGTATGTGGCACTGTCCTTGAAATTGATTGGTCCACACCCGAGACAGCTTTAGAGCCTCGTCTCGCATGGTGTTGGACCAGAAGACGCCAAAAGGCACACAACTCAAAGACAATGCACCATCAGAGTATGAGAGCTCGGGGTAAGCATTTACAAATGAGGTTTCCAATGTTGTGTAAATGCTTACCCCGAGCTCTCATACTCTGATGGTGCATTGTCTTTGAGTTGTGCGCCTTTTGGCGTCTCCTGGTCCAACACCAATGTGAGACGAGGCTCTAAAGAAAGCTGTCTCGGGTGTGGACCAATCAATTTCAAGGACAGTGCCACATACATTATCAGAGTTGTTGTTTTTTGTTTGCATTCCGACCGCAGGTATTGTGGTCAATGTAAACATGACTCCTTGTAAAAAAAAAAGGTGTCAGTTTTGTTGCCAGATAAAAGGGTAAAAAAACAATTATCATATTTTGTTACTGGCAAATGAGGTTTCCAATGGTGTAAGTTAATACTTGTTCATACTTGACCACTCTCATCAGTGGGAGTTGCCTATTCAATACTCATGTATTGGCAAATCCCAAACCCCCCCCCCAAACCAGCAATTCATGGGAAGCGACTCGCCACAATTGACTGGCAAAAAGGCAATGAATTGTACATGTGCTGGGCATATTGACAACACTGTAATTACTCATTGGTTTTTTCGGTAAAGTCACGTATGTAGAAATACAATAAAATTATATTAATTATATTATATTGTTTTAATATTTTATTGTATTTCTACATACGTGACTTTACCGAAAAAAACAATGAGTAATTTTATGCAGTCACGAAAGCTTTAATACTTTATTAACACTGTAATTATATATTTTTGGTTCTTTCGGTAAAGTCACGTAGAAGGGAAACAATAAAATAATATAAAACAACACAATTCTCACGACGTTTCGAATGCAACACGAGCAATCATCCCTTCTACGTGGTGGTGACTTTACCGAAAGAACCAAAAATATGAATCCCTGCAGTCACGAAAGCTTTAAATCAAAATTTAACACTGTGATTGCAACTGTTTGCTATATATATGAAAATCAAGGTCCCTTTTGCAAAATGAAGCGGATATGAAGTAGAGGTTTCTTTGTTGCTAACTTATTCATGGATTGCAATGTACAAAAAGAACGTTCTTAATCCGCATTAACGTGAAATTTACACCGGCACAGTCGCTGAACATCTATAGGTAGAAATGCCGTCGATTTGTTCAGTTCAGATCAGTTTATTTATTTTGGTATAGCCCTGTGAGCCATTCGGCTCTTGAATCGGGTGCAACCACAACAAACAAAAAAAACAAAAACACGAACAAGAAAAACATCTTAAAGGGACTATGTGTGACTGTGCAAACAGAAAATCCATGTAAAAAAAAACCCATAAAAATATTCCTGAAAAAAAAGCACCGTACACCAACGCTGTGTGCAAGAAATCCCAGTGGGATGCAAGTCAAACAACAATAACAACAACCACAAGTGGCGACAGAGCTGGGAGATCTTGTTCCCCACAATAACTTTCATTTGACTGATTAGTCAAGCAACAGATTACTCGAATAATTGGATAGCCCAGCTCGATAAGTTTAATTGATTGTTTTTGTCCAAAACACTCAAAGATTTTTTTTTCCCCTTTACGGTCACATAGTACAAGCCCAAAACACCAAGTGGCCACGGACAAGCAGCACTACTGAAAGCGTACAAGATAAGGGAGAGGGTTATGAGAACAGACATTTTCAGAAAGCTTACAATAAAAAAACCCCGTCTTTTTTTGTATTTACTTTTTAAATATTGTGTTGTTTTTTGTTTTAAATATATATATAAATAACGAAACTCTCGCCCGGCCCACGTGGACGCAACGTCCTAGCGCGCGTGCCCTTGCAAACCTCGAAGACGACCACAACGCCGAGCAACGAAACATTCACGGGCTCTTCCAAGTTCCAACATGCATTTAAACGTAGTTTATCGTTACATTTTGACAACAAAGCCACTTACATTATTAGCCCCTTATGCGTGTATTGTAACGTTATTTTTTTTGGCGCTAACCGATAGCATCTGTGCCCGAACCACCTCAAACTGCATTCATAGCATTCATAAGAATGTATTTAAAAAAATAAATGCGGGCTACTGTGCGATCTACGTGTACCGCAATCCATACAGGCGACAAAAGCAGAGTTTTTTCTTTAAAAAAAAAACTTCAATACATTTTAATTACTTTATTACCAACTTGGTGGAGGCCTTACACAGATTCACGCATCGGGTCTCGGCTAGTTCTCACCGCCGGGTTAGGGCAACCTCAGGCGGGGGAAGCATCTATCCGACAGAGGGGGTTGGGCCGTGAATCTCGGTAATCCACGGGTATCTCTCGCCCGTTTAGTTCTTCTCTCCCTTTCTTCTTCCCCCGGCTCCTTCTCCGTGATGTCTCCTGGCGTTCGCCCTTAATGGTTACCTGAACATGGGCCTCGGCAGGACGACGGCGGCCAAAGATCGTAGGCGCAGCATAGCGCCGAGGAACGGCGGGAAGACGGCGAGCGAGGCTGGAGGGGAAGGCGGCCGCTGGCCTGGGGGCCTCGACAGCGCCTCCTGTGCCTAGGCCCGGCCACGGCAGACACAATGTTAACACAATAATAATTATTATTATAATGATATAGGAATAGGTTTTACCTTTTTAACTGGCACAAAAACTGACACCTTTATTCAAGGCATCATGTTTGCAATAACCACAACACAAGCAGTCAAAATGCAAACAAAAAAGACAACTCTGATAATATTGGCACTGTCCTTGAATTATTATTATCAGAGTTGTCTGTTTTGTTTGCATTTTGACTGCTTGTGTTGTGGTTATTGCAAACATGCTGCCTTGAATAAAGGTGTCAGTTTTTGTGCCAGTTAAAAGGGTAAAACCTATTCCTATATCGTGTTACTGGCAAAGGAGGTCTCATAATATAATAATGATGTCAAGCATCCAAAGACATCAGTTTTCAGTTTCATTTATTTGGTAATAGCCCCCCCCCCCTGTCCTGTGTGAGCCATTCGGCTCTTTAATCGGGTGCAACAGCAACAAACAAACAAAAACACGAACAAGAAAAAACATCTTAAAGTGACTATGTGTGACTGTGCAAATAGAAAAATCCAGGAAAAAAACCAGCAAAAATATTCCTGCAAAAAGCACCGTACACCAACGCTGTGTGCAAAAAATCCCAGTGGGATGCAAGTCAACAACAACAACAACAACCACAAGAAAACTTAGATTAAGGCCATCAGTCTAACTCCGTACTACAACAACACAAAGATGGCCAAACAAAAAAAACTTTTCGAAATCAAAATAAAGTCGTAACAGTGATCATAGGAACTGTGACCGAAATTTCACAATAAACGACATAAACAACATGTACCACCAACACCCTGTAGCCACAGCTGGCTGCATGAGTCACTCCACAACAGCATGAACATCAGTCGGAGTATCAAACATTTTCAATGCACCTTCAAAGATCAGCACACTAAATTAAAAAAAACACAAGATCATACTTTGCAGCGGTCATTGTACACGGTGGTCGCACATCATCATCACCAGCCACAAAAAGCGATAGGCAACAGCAGCAGCATCATCAGCAGCAGCAGCAAGAATAAAACGAGCTGCATCAAGAGGCACGTATTAAAAAAATGAAATGATCAGTAGAATCATCATCAGTTTCAGCAACAGCGTAGTATAATAGCATCGTCGGAAGCACAATCGTCATCAGCAGCATTATCCTCAGCAGCGTCAATCGTGATCAGTCGACTGTTGGATAAAATCCAAACTTGATCATTAAATTCATCCACGTTATGTCAACTTCTCCTGTTGACGATGTTTGTTGTGTTTGTACATATTGTCAAATCACTGCTGGATTTGGGCCCTCTGAACGCCTTGCGGGGTCGTGTAAACCGTTTATTTGGCCATACTTCACCACGCCGGTCAGTTACGGGCTGATGATGTGGGAGTATAGACGCGGATGCATAGGAGTGCAGTACAACGGATTTTATTACACTGCCCTCTACTACCCACCACGTAGCTTTGCAACACACGTGGCCACCTGCTTGTACATGGTGGTCGCACATACTAGCACTGTCCAGGGTCAAATCTCGGCTTAGCTTCTGAGATATGATGAGATCGGGTGCATTCCGGTTGATTAGTTGATGGTCAGGTAGCGAAATAACCATGGGAAATTTTGTGGCAAAGGGAATCCTTTCTATTATTTATGAACAGTGGAACAAAAACACTAAGTCATGAATTTATTTTGAAAAGTACCATACAGCAAGCACAGTGCAAAGTCAAAAACAATGACACGTTAAATCTGCAATGCTTATGTGTAAAACATATATACAATCCATGCAAATTGCAGATACAGAATATATATTCCTCTGATTTAATCCAGTGCATAATCAGTAAATTGCATAGTTGGTCAATTCTATACCGAAGGTGGAATGAAACAAATCACAATTCATAATTGTCTTGGTAGGTGCCGCTAGAGGTGTAACCATTCAACCACTTTTCAAGATTCAATTCGCGAATTCATTCTTGTTTTAACACTGGTAAATGTAGAGGCCACAACCCAGTAAACAATGACTGTTGGGCCAACATTGAGCCAACGGTTTCAGCCACATCCCAACGTTGACCCAACATTGACCCGAAGGAAGTTCAACATATATACAGACTCCAACGTTACATGTTGAATGGTTAGTAGCTGCCGAGGCTACATTAACCCATTACATACAACACGCACAATTCGAGAAAACATGAATTCATATACACGCGATTCAGTGCACATATCGTGAGCTTATGAATCATTATTAATCTATGAGTCGATGCATTACTATTCTCGAGTTGACACCCATGGTTTATTACTGCACCAGCACTCTTGTAAAATGAATGAAAATCCAAAATAGACACCAAAGTGCTGTATAAACCAATCCGAAATTGCAGATAAATAATTCATAGGTAGAGTATTCTCCTACTCCATTAGCAGTTCTGATCCATTGCAGGAAAGTCCATATTCCTACGGCAAGTACCTATATATACTTATCTTATGTCTATTGCCTCTCTTGGCAGAAAGCAAATACCACCTTGCCATGAATATTGCCTTACTTCATCAGCAATGGTCTATCCGCTACTGGATTAAGGCCTCCCCACGTCGTCACCATCCCTCAGTCTTTCGTTACCACAAATTATCTCGCTTGTGTGCATAAGCTTAACCCTTTCCCGTTCCAATAGGTCCACGTTGAGACAAAGGTTCCAAGCACACTTCCGCGCGGGACAAAAACACAATTCTTGTTGAGAAAAAGCATTCATGATGCAGTGAATACCTTTGAAGGAGACATGTGCGACTAGTGCTGAATTCCATCCGATCATATACAGCTCTAATCAGGAAAATATGGTAAATGGTAAAACCAGTGCATAAATCACAGTAAATCCAACTGGCTAGCTGTTAAGTTGAATGATTTATATTTTTAGCATGTTGGAAAATGTCTCAAATTTCTCAGCCCCAAAAGAATTTACATTTTAATTCAAGCCAATTTCGTGACTTCTCTTGCTTATAGGCAATCTAGCGACCGTTTAAGCGTCCTCCCCGCGGTTATGTCTGTACGACGTCTGCGAGTGAGGTGACGGTCAGGGCCTCCTGAACGTGTCGGGCCGTGGTGCCCTGCCACGGGTAGAAGGTGATGTTGCGTGTGCCCTCCGTGAGCAGCAGCCCGTTGTCACTGAATCGGCCGGCGATGGCTCCGACGTCGAGCCACACGAAGGGAGCCACTGCCACTGCCTCCAGGGTGACCACCACCGGCGAACCAGGCATGCCACTCACGCCTGCCACCTGTGCCGTAAAACAAAAATCCCGCATAACACCGTGTCATGTCTTGTTACGCCATCCCCATTTCATAATATTCATCAGCCATGATCGATCCACTGAAGAACGAAGGCCTCCCAAAGCCATAACAACAATCCATCCAGCACCTGAAAGCAAGCTGATTTCTTCACTCCACCTCCATGCTGGACGATTTTGTATGCGTTCTCTCACTTGGCTGCCACTGTTGTTATTTTCGACCACTATTCATCATCCATTCTAACGACGTGTTCTGCCGAAGCCTATACTTACTTTTCTTAAGTTAATTTCACTTGCATTCATACCACCAGAGGTGAAAAACTGAATAACTCACACTTTTCTTCTGTGCAGTTTGGCAAGGGCACAAACATTAATCCCCGTTTTTAACATTCTGCCAGCACAGGTGCAACAACGGAATGGTCCAGGATTTGTTTTCATCGCAAATCTCAATCCGCACTCAATTAAAGTTACCAAACGTACGGTTTGACTCTGAATGTCCCGGTCTCCTGAAATATGAAAAAAGAATACGGTCATAGAGATACTTACCTTCCACAAGAGGTTTTTTTTGGTTAGATTCCAAAAATATAAATGTGTTGTTAAACCCGCAACCACAGCCAATTATTTCCTACTTCAGCACACCGGTGTGTTGGAAAGTAAACCCACAACATTTGCAATTCGAGTACGGTGTTTCGCCCCAGTAATTACAACCAGCCTCATCAGACGCCAACCAGAATTGTGTTAAATATTCTCACCTTCACTGGCCGCGCGTGCAGCCCCTGCGCGTCCTTTAGCGATGCCAGGAAGACGTGATTGCGGGGGCCGACCTGCGTGCCGTTCTCCGCCTGCAGCTGGAAGGTGACTACGCAGCGCTGCCTCGTGCAGCCGGTGCAGCGAGCGAGCAGCATCTTGATGGGCTCGCGGTGCTTTCTCACCGCGCTGCCGGCCGCGACCCACGAGGACGCGCCGACGAGCGAGCACACGGGCCGCAGGCTGCTCCACGCGTACGCCTCCACCTGGTTCGCAGCGCCGAGGGCACGGCGAGAGGATGAGCGTGTGAGACCATATCGTCACAATTATCATTGTCGTCATCAGCTGTCGTCTATTCACTGCTGGGTGAAGGATTCCCCGTGTCGGTGAGGTATCACTATTGGACTTCAGAGAATTAGGTTATCTCATTGCTCCTTCAACCAGCAGTGGATAGACCATGACTGCTGCTGCTGCTGACATTGATGATCGGGATTCCTTCAAAGAGCAGTGGACAGATCACAGATGATGATGGGATATTCTTCATGCAGCAGTGGACAGATCACAGATGATGACGACAATTACAAACATAAGGATGATAACAAGGAGAGGAGGCCATCATTCAGTAGTGGACCAAACCAGGCTGTGCCTGATGATGATGCTGAACATAAACAAATTCCCTTTCCCCATCTTTACAGGAAAATACACAGGGCTCAATTTCAACCTGATCCATACATATTTCCACACCCGGCACACCACGAGTTGTCCTCCTAGCACCTCCGATTAGCACGGTTGGCTACGTGCGGTGCGAAAGTTCAACATACATAAGAGTAGTCACGTGCTTTTTTTTTTCAGAAAACATCCAGTGAGAGATTAAGCCCTGGGAATGAGTAACGCAGGGCGGCCACCCTCTCACGCACCCGCACGGCGAGGTGCAGGCCGAAGAGTTGGTCGTTGACGGCGTATATGACGAGCTCGCCGCCGTCCAGGAAGCCGATGGGCAGCACGGGCGAGAAGAAGTCACGAGCAAAGTGGTGTAGCATCTTCCACTTGCCGCCGTACTCTTGAACACAGCGCCAGCACGAACAGCGTAAGTGCACAGACATGCACGAGCGTCCGATGCTACGTATGTTGTATAAGATAAAGGTGCAGCCCTACAAAATGCTTGCTCATGCCACTGCCTATAGAAGGGCCTCCTTGAGAGGAAGCTCTTGAGAACTCCTCTATTCGTAATAAACGTTTTTGGGTTAGATCGCGTTATTCATAAAATGTGTCGTAACCCTCCACAACCCGACACGGCCAATCAGCAAAAAAGTGTCACGTTGACAAAAGACAAATAGTTCACTACTTTAGCCCACCAGTGTGTGTCGAAGAGTGAATCCACACCATTTACAATTTTTGAGTACGACGTTTCGCTGGTAATTACATCCAGCATCATCGGGCAATTTGCCAGAATGGTGAAGCCCTGACTTGCTCCCGGTCTATTCGGCCTATGCTTTCATGCTGGCCAGGCGCCTTGGAATAGGTGGCAGTACCCATATTTTATACCAGCGTATGCGACCTGCCGATTGGCTAACTGTTGTGTACCCATTTGTACTGCTCAGTGGACAGAGGCAGAAGGATTTAAGCAGCTTTTCCGCATTGTTTCAAATGCCATGCTGGGGGAGATCAAACTGGCAACCTCTGTATTTGCAAGATGGGTGTGTTTACCGATACACCATGGTAGTAACTCTACATAGTACACAATGTGTACTCACCCAGGGAAGACCAGGAAGCTCCCTGCCAGATGTCGTTGAGCTGCCAGTACAACGCCCCCATTGTGTGGCCCTCACCAGAGATCACCTCGCTCCGGCTCCGTCGGTAAAACTCCGTCTCGCTCTTTACGCACTGTGCCTGCATCACCTGCAAGCAAACACGAGTCGGTACGGGCAGCCCCTAATTTATCCGGCTACGGGTAGATTTGGCATGCTGATTTGGCGGCGCGTTGACATGTGCGCCGCCTCTACTACACACGGCAGCGCAGTGAGGTGGAATGAATTAGATGACCTGCGATAGCAGGCGAAAAAAGGGAATGTACGCCATCTCGCTGCCTCGTCCGTATCGTCCCGTGGAGTTTGTTCCGTCCGAACGTTGTGCACCTGGGACAGGTAAAGGGTGAGCTGGAAGGCACGGAGCGGATCGCCGGTGGCCGGTAGGGGGAAGTGGCGTGCGATCTGCTGCAGGATCTGCTCGTTGCCTTGCCCGTGGTGCTGCCGGTGCTGCATGAAGGAGCTGTTGAAGGACCAGTCGCTTTTCTCCGATACCTGCGTTCGACATCGCGCAGGGGCGGCATTCTTAAAGTGAAACTGAAATTCCCGAAGTGGGGGCGGCATGATACTGCGTCAGCTACACGTGGTGCACACTTCTCTGGCGACGGGGGCACGTGTATGTATGTTGAACTTTTGCACCGTACGTAGGAAACTGTGCTAATCATGAGGTGCGGGTATGAACATGCACCCATCTGCCACGTGACTAATAACCGCTGGGAACAACCCCAACTTCCAAAGTATGGCGGCGGCGCGCCCCTAGTACCCACCTCCACCTCAGCTGTTTGTTGTCCTGCCCCCCGCACCTCCTCCGATTAGCATGTACGGTGTGAAAGAAGTTCAAAATACATACATGTGGCTGGCACCTGGAACAGCCCGACCGGCACACACCTGCGCCAGCGTGCTGAACGACGGCCAGGACTGGAAGCCGTACTCGGAGGCGAAGCGCGCGCGTGGGTAGTGGCTCCAGTCCCAGCAGTCGGCGCCGTACTCGTAGTAGTGCGTGTCGCCGTAGTGCGTGTCGTACGGGTCGCGTGCCACCCAGCCCTCGCTCTCCGACTCGGCGCCATTGGTGGGGCTCGACGCGAGGAACGGGCGCGTGGCGTCCTCCTGCGTGCGACGACGACGACGGCGGCAGAGAGAGGGGATGAACGCTTCGTTGTAAATGTTGTGGGCTTACTCCTCCAACACACCGGTGTGCTGAACTAGTAACTCATTGGCATGTTTTGTTAACGTGACAAACCTCACTAATTGGCTGTCGGGTGGTGGCGGGTTAAACAACACATTTATAGTTACGCGATATAACCTAAAAAAACCTCTATTATGAATAATATTGGTCGTGAAAGCCTACGACTACTGCTACGTGTTACACTGGGGATGAACGCACCGGCACCCAGAGATTTTCGTCCTCAGTGGGAAGTCACGTGGCTCTCCACTGTTGCCACCATGGTATGGAACTTTTGGTCCCCAGCCGCCTGTGCTGTTGACTCCCCGGCCCTGTTCAGTTGCAAGATCTTCCTTGGTTACTTTTGCCTAAAATCGATCGCCTCGTTCTCTCTATAATATATATATATCCCCACTGTTTCTGTACAGGGTCTTGAGATACTGCAATATTTGGAATACATATTTGAGTCCGCGGATCTCTATCTAACTCTATGGCTCCCTATCTAAGTCTATGGGTATATGCATTGAGTCTATGGGTCCTTAAGTGAGTCTATGGGTTCATTGTGAGCCAACGTGTCTCTATGCAATTCCTTAGTTTCTCACTCAATATTTTCCGGGTCACTGGTAGAAAGTAGGCGGCACATGAATATTCGTAGCAGCAACAGCCATATATTTAAAAAAAATAAACTATTTTAATTTTATCAGGTAAGGTCCATTGAGCTATATTGCTCTTTTTCAGAAGTGACCTGGCCACAAACGATAGCTCGATGAAGTGGCTTATTAAGTGGAAATTGATAGCAACCAAATACTGTAAACGCTTCTCTCTAAATGTGAAGGGGGAAACCGGAGGACCCGGAGAAAAATCCACACGACCACGGGTAGGATATGCAAATTCAAAATATACAGACGTCAGGGTTGGGATCGAACCCACGACTTTCTGTACACTCGGCGAGGTAGTTAACATCTCGCCACCGTGGTGCCCAAACGAGAGGTATACTGGATGTGGCGTGGAAACATTTCCGACGTTGAAATCACGCCCTGAACCTCCTGCGACATGAAGACGCTTGGCCATTACGTTAAATAAAACGATATAAAAACGAGTGTCATTTTGCACCGTGTGGGCGGAAACCGGAGAGCCTGCAGAAGCTCGAGCCACTCACCTGCATCACGGCTGCCCGCACCGTGCCCACGTAGAGCTGCACGTACTCCTTGTGGAAGCGCGCGTAGTCGCCCGCCGGGATGTGGAACCAGTTGGTGGCGAGCGCCGCCTCGTTCTCGTTGTTGGCGCTCCACACGACCACGCTCGGGAAGCGTTTCAGCCGACGCGTCTGCTCGTGAAAGGCATTGGGAAACGTTTGAACGGCACGGTCATCGTCGTCAGTCGGGCTGCGATTTTGGCACGGTTACTTGATGGGGTGCCGCGGTGGCAAGATGTTATCTCCCTCGCCTGGTATGCGGGAGGTGACGGGCTCGATTCCGACCCTGGACGCCTGTTATACATTTGGAGATGGTATGTTCTCGCTGTGGTCGTGTGGATATTTCTCCGAGTGCTCCGGTTTTTCCCCGCCACATTTAGATTCAACGCAGCTTAAATTATTTGGCTGCTGTAATTTTTTATGTGATAGGCCACTTTGTTGAGCTATCATTTGTAGCCAGGTCGCTTCTGAAAACAGAGCTAATAGCTCAGTGGGCTTGACCTGCTAAAAAAAAAATCTAAGTCAAGGCATCTCTCCATCTCTGAGAGGAAAACCACACACACACCCACACACAAGGGAAGAGAATGCTCAAACCCTGACACAGACATGAGACTGCGTAGATTTTCGCAATTGTGCTGTTCAGATCTCCGATGCACATGGGAGCAGAACGCAGGCCATTGCAATCAATGTGCCGAAAACACATCGTAAACCTTTCAGAGACAGCTAAAGAGAAACCTAGCTCCACTAATTCTAGATTTCATGCTTTCGTGACTGCAAGGATTCATACTCCACTACCACTTCTGTGGAATCTCGTGTCACGAGTCTCACCTGCTGCAGCACCTCGGTGTTGACGGAGCTCAGGAAGTCGGCGTCCGTTGGGTAGAGAGCACAGGCAAACATGAAGTCCTGCCACACCTGCCAGAGTGGAGATGGGACATGGCTGTAAAGATTACGACAAAGGGCAATCGTGACTTGCAAATGTCACAGGCAACAGTTGCTGCACCGTTTTCTATTGTAGCAAAAAATGGATTGACCAAATCTGCAGAAATCTGATCGGTGCTCCCCACAGTGAGCGACTGGAATGGCAATATCCAACTCAATAAGATCACAGAGGTCACTTGACCTTTTGAAAAATGGCGGTGTCCAATCTGGATAGAGCGTACACATTTACCATGTATTGCTTCTCGAATTACCAATGTTTATCGTTAGATTAATGATTTTGTTCTATTAATGTAACAACTTTATCACTCTGCACCTCCTCTGTAGCTGCTCATAGCAAATGCGCTGCTAGCCATTGTTGCCCTAAAACTGCCCCAGTGACTTATGAGCTTTGCAGTGAAAGAAGCGATTAAGCATGGCTATAGTTATAAAAAGCGTTGTCATGTCAAACAAATTCTCCTCGAGCACTGCTAAGATGCATGTAGTGACGAATGTTGTTTCGAAGTGGCAGTCCTCATGTGGTTACAGGGAATACAACATTAACTCACGGGCTGGGTACGGGCCAAAGTTGTAGGTTCCCCATCTACGATTATAATAATTATTATTCCATTTATTTACCCGAAAAAGCATCACTGAGTCTCAAGACTCTTTCTAAGGAGCAGCAGGGGATGATGTTGCTGTGTGTGCAATCCCATCGAATGTATTTTTTTTTAAGCTATGGGCGGCAACCGTGTATCCCAGAGAAGACCCATGGAGCCGAGTCAGGAATCGCACCCCCAACATTTCATGCTGGCCCATAGTTGGTCCATAGTTGCAACACACGTGCCGACGCTGGCCCAACGTTGCACGCTTACTGGGCCAGGACCTTCTTGCTGCGAGGCACGAGGATTACCACGACGCCACTCTGCCGCCCACCTCTGATCTGCAACGTGGGGGGGGGGGCTTCCTTCTTTGCTTCTCGTTTGTAAATTTGCGAGATGCATCCTCCTACAAACGCAAACGATGCGGCGCTCACCATGATGCCCAGCTCGTCGCACGTCTCGTAGAACGCGTCCGTCTCGTAGACGCCGCCCCCCCACACGCGCAGGGCGTTCATGTTCGCGTCCGCGGCCGATTGCAGCAGATCGCGCAGCCTGCACATGCCATCACACGCAGCTTGGCCGTCGAGCAACAGGAGCGTCGATCATCGAGCAACACGAGCATTAATCAATGAGCAACAGAAGCGTCGATCGTCAAGCAACAGGAGCGTTGAGCAAGAGGAGCATCGATAATCCAGCAACAGGAGCATCGAGCGTTGGGCAACACAAGCATCGACTGATCCTGATGAGACTCCAATATTTAAACAAACAAAAAAATTCAGATGACCAGTTTTGAAAGTGTACAGAGATTGGTGGGAGTCACGTCGAGGCTTTGACGTGAAATGTTAATGAAAACATTAACTGTTGTTTTCTCTAGAAATGTCCCTTCTCAATAGTGTGGTGTCTATAAGCGCATCGCCGTCCTCCACGACACTGAGTAAGTGGCGCGTGGTCGAGGTGGAGCGGGGGGGGGGGGGGCTCGCCCACCGGCCAGGGGTGACACGGGTGTGGAAGGAGTCTGCTGGGATCCAGTTGGAGCCCCTGAGGAACACGGGCCTCCCGTTGATGCGAAAGTAGAAGCTGAGTCCCGGAGAGTCCGCCACGGGTTCCTGCACGAGCTCCACTGTGCGGAAGTAAACCTGCCAAACGACACGTGCAGAGTAGGGGGGGGGGGGGTGGCCAGGGTGGGAGACATGGAACATAACAAGAATAGACGCAAGCTTACATTCGGTCTGCCCGGCTCGTTACGTTGTTGGTTGCAGATTCATGCGAGAATCTCGTTGAGGGGCGTCTTGAAGAATCCCAAACGCATCAAGGTACAGTTCGCCGATCGTGCCCACTTTGGCGTGACCATTCGCGGTTGACCGCGAGACCGCGAGGTTCCTGAATGCATCGTAACTGTACTGCTCGCGATGACGCTGCCGCTGAAGAACACACGCCACCATCTTGTCTCCATCTTGTCTCACAAGTGGCCCATCGCGGGTCTCAGGTCACGTGGTGCTCCCAGCTTCCAGTGAGGAGGCAGTGAGCTTCAGCCGCGCGCTTTTTTTCCCCACATAATTTGTTTTCACTCTATACATTTACCGTAAAAGTTATATTTAACACGAGAAAATCTTAATAATATTTAGCATTCAAAGTGCTTTCTGTTTCATGTTTGGGTTGATGTTGGGTAACATAAAACAAAAGGAGGGATGGGTGTTGTATTACGAACCGTAAACCAAACCCTCGTTTTCCCATTTGCACCAGGGGGTTTGCGGATTGCAGATTTGCCGATTGCGGCGATTTTCAAGAAAGCAACCCCCGCAATGGACAAGGGTTTTCTGATGGAACATTGCAAAGTAAATACATCATTTTGAATCGAATCGCGGCCATGAATCATAATTTATTGAATAACAAAGGGGGAAACTCCCTTACATGCCTAACATATTAGGATGTTTCAAAAGTAATGATAACCTTAATTACCCTTGAATTCTATGTCTGCGCCAATTTGTGAAACATTGCGTGATAAATGGGGCCTGACTGTGACACATATCTGCAATAGCAATATAACATTTTTCAGATTGCTACCGCTAGATGGCAGATGCATCAAATGATAATCGATAGCCCCACCCATGCACAACTGCAAATTAGAACCGAAGCAAGCTGTTACTTACTTTTTGTCCACTGGGCACATAAAAGCAAGCACATTTTTTCACACGAAGAATGAATCTAAAATTTGGTGACGATTAATCGAATCGGGATTGTGGTCAAACCATTACATTCCTGGTATTCATCGTGGCCTTCTCGCTTCCCCAGCCGTGTGTGTGGTAATGACAAACGAAGTGTGAACATCTCACCATGGTGTCTGCTGCCAGGATAACACCCCCGTCGAGTAAGATCTGGGCTGTTGTGTGATAACCACTCTGGTTTCCGTCCCCTCGGGGCCACCACATCTTCAGGTTTGTTCCGTTCTGCATGTATAAGCACACACACACACATACAAAGATCCATCCCCCCTGTCACCATAACAGAATGTTGGGGCAGGCGCTGTTAGTGATTACCTATGAAGGCCAGCACGGCACGCGAGGGGGTGGGTGGCCAGCACCACGCCCGGCCGTCCTTGCCTCTCCAGTGGCGATGTTTACACACCGCACCAGCTACTCATTCGAGGCTGAGACAACCTAGGGAAGGCCAAGGATTGGTTCAAATATTCGCAACTGTTATTGGCCGTGAGCGGGAATCGAACTCGGGTCGTCGGGTTCACAGCGCAGTGCGCTAAACCGCTGCGCCACCGCTAACGCGCGCACGGCGGCACACCTGTGCGAGGGGGAAGGAGACGTGCACGGGGCTGGTGCCAGGCGAGAGTGACACGTTGTAGGAGAAGGACGTCTTGAGCTCCAGCACGGACACGCTGACGGCTGCCTCCACCTTCTGGTTTCCCAGCAGATCCACGTGCGCCTCCAGCTCCAGGGTCCACCGTCCCCACGGTCCGTCTGTGGTCATCATCATCATCACCAATCCTCATCATCATTGTCACCAATCATCATCATCGGCAGCAGCAGATCGATCCACTACGGAACAATCAACCTAGCACGTGATTTTTGTTAACACGTATGCTTTTGCGACCGATACAATGGGTCATAATACATTTTTGGTCAGATCGCCACGTGAGTAAATTGCCGACGTGTGTCGTACTCTCTCATCCACCAGACGAACAAATGTCATTGTCACGTGAACGAGCGTGTGCTCGGAGAGCAATCCACAACATTTAACAATCCTCTTTAGCGCTGTTAAACAGTGCCGGCTGACGTTCGTGTATATCACGCACTCCCATGGCCGTTTGGGGTGAGCGGGCTGCGGGTGAGACAACCATCGGGGAGAAGTCCGCCGGCTTCTTCATCTCACCGAGCGGAGAAGGGATGATGGCCAGGTCGAGGAGGCGTGCCAGGTAGTAGGCTTCCAAGCGCACACTCCTCCAGATGCCCTGCGTGGCGAAAGCGGGGCCCCAGTCCCAGCCAAACGAGCACTGCTCCTGTTCACAGCCCCAGCGATACAAGAGGCCCACTGAGCTATATAGCTCTTTTTCAGAAGCGACCTGGCCACAAATGATAGCTCCTTGAAGTGGCTCATCATGTCAGAATTAATAGCAACCAAATACTCTGAAGGCCTGATGCTTATTCTAAATGTGGAGGAAAAAAACGGAGGACCAGGAGAAAAATCTACACGACCACGGGGAGAGAGAGAGAGAGACATGCAAACTCCAAATATACAGGCTTCAAGATTGCGATCAACCCGACAACCTCCTGTATACCAGGCGAGGTAGTTAACATCTTGCCACCGCTGCGTTGGAGGAGGTAGCAGTGCTAGTAGAGGCAAATAAGGAGTTGATGTCAGTTGTGGTGGTGATAATCGAGGCAACGGTGGTTGGCAGTGGAGGTGATGCAGGAGGAGGCGATGACGGTGGCGGTGTTGGCAGAGGTGGCGCAGGCAGAGACACGCACGCGCGCGCATATGAGGAGGTGGAACAAGGGAAGCGAGCGAGCGAGGCGCTGCGCTCACCTTTCGAATGTAGTTGACGTGGCACTCGCCATGCTGCTCGGGTGGAGGGCACGCGGGGGGCACGGGCCACGCGGGGTGCTCGTCGGCGCGTCCAGACGCGTAGCGCGGCGCCGACTCGAACGCCACCGTCAGCAAGTTCGTCGCCCCCTCGCCCTCCTTGAGCAGGCCGCTCACCACAAATTCCTGCGCCGCGCAGAGTAGCGGACGCCGCCTTCGTGTAAATGTAAATGCGTCGTTAACCCCGCCGCCACCCGATGCAGCCAATTAGTAAGGTTTGTCACGTAAATAGAACGCGCCAATTAGTTACTAGTTCAGCACACCAGTGTATTGGTGTGCAAGCCCACAACATATACAATTTGAGTACGACGTTTCGCTGGTGATTAAAACCAGCTTCAGCAGGCGATTTGCCAGAATTGTGAAGAAGTCTTCCTGTTTTGGTCTTGAATCGAGTAAAGGTTGATGTCATTACTGTGAGCCTTACAGGTGCGCAGACCAGAGGGGGGTTAATGTAATAGCCGCAATGCTACATCGGCCGAAGCTAATTCAGGCCTAGTGGTAACGCGTTCGCCGCTTGTTGTCGCAGAGGTTAAAGGTTAGAATCCAGCGGCTACCCTGGTTATTACTGCGGGTTCCTTATTCGTATATTTTTTTCTCGTTTTATACGTTGTTTTATTTTTATGTTTCAGTACACGATGGCGCTTTGAGTGGCAAAAAATAAAATGTACTTAGCTTCACTGTGGATGTTAAATTGCCCACGTTACTCAACAGGGATTATACATATATCTCAAGCATCGCCTCAAACTCCGACAACTTGACAGGACCCTCCTAAAAAGAGTCATGAGACTCAGTAAGTAAACAAGCATTAAAAAATAATGGGAATAATTAAAAGTAATTAACAACCCTGTGTCAATCCAGTGCTGGATTAAGGCCTCTTCACAATAGGTTGTTTGACCATACTTCACCACTGTATACAAACTCACGCACCACTGGCTGACAAAAAGAAACACCTGAAACTTTTCAGCATTTTCTCTCTCATGGCGGAAACGATGGTGGTCCCATCCACGCCATTCCGTGAACACCATAACCTCACCAGTGCTTCCGGCAGTGGTGCGCGTGTAAGCGTGTTACACATTTCATCCTTCTAGCAGCAGCGGCTTTTGGCTGCCTATCGAATAAAGACGGTCACCGCATTGCGCACGTTCAGATGCGCTTCTGTGGCCGTCTGGAACGCTCTTCCTTCTGATATCAGGAAGTCGCTGGAGCTATATTTTTAAATGTAAATTTTAAACTAATTTCTTGAGAACTGCTTTTTGTGTTTAATTTGTTGTCCTTCCCCCACACTCCCGACTAGGACGGTTGGCTTCGTACGGTGCGATAGAAGTTCAACGTACATACGTACGTACAAAACTCCCCCACAGCCAGCAGGAGCCAGTACTCACGTAGGTGATGAACATGTTGTCCGTGCGTCCCAGCACCACCCCGTTGAGAGAGACGGTTGCCACCGTATCCACCCCTTCAAACACAAGCACCGCCTTCTGATGGTTCCTGCGACACACAGAGATCCCCCCACCGTGAAGGGCACGTGCTGCTAGCGAGCACCCATCCATTATAAGACTGGCACGGTACACGAGGGGGTGGTGGCGTGGCCAGAACCGCGACACCAAACTGTCATCGTCTCCCACGTCCTGATGTTTGCGCATTGCACCAGGTACTCATTTAAGGCTGAGTCGACTTAAGAGAAATCCAGGGCCGCCTGCCCTATGCAGCTCACTTCTGGTCGCTCGTTTCTTCTCTCTTCTCCCTCTCTCATGACCCTCTCTCTCATCCCTGACATCTTGGCTCAGTAATTCCTTCTCCTCATCCTGCCCGCTGCTCCTCGCTTCTTCCTGCTGCTGATCAACGACTCATCGTGCCCTCTTTGTCTGTCTTGACTACCCTACCCGTGCTGTGCCGTGGGTATAATGTTTCACGATTACTAAACCACTATATTTAAATTAACTCGACACGTGGTTGGTAACCAGGACGGAATTGTTCTCACTGTAATGGTATCGGCACGGTGAAGTTGCGCTGGTAAGTCCAGTCCTGCCTCGATATCCAGCGGTACACATCATCGTTGAACCGGTAATAGGGGTCCTGCGGAAGGCGGGGTTCAAAGTTGGAAGAATGATGCGTTAGTGAGAGACTGATATCTAACGATTTCACTAAAACTCGATTATTATGCTTATGATACACGCGTCGAATTATGTGCATAAGAGTCGATGATTATAAGATTCATACTCTTTGGTGCTTTCGGTAAAGTCACGCAGGTATAAGATAAATTAAATTAAATCACGACGTTTCGGGCGTAACACAAGCGTCCGTCATCAGGTGGGACAACCACTGCAGTCACGAAAACTTCAAATCTAGATCATAAGATTGCAAAAAATTGCACTTAAATATAAGCGTTGTGAGCTGAGAGCCTCAGCACAGTCCCCAATAACGTACACACAAAACATCATTACGTGTAGTTCTGCATTTCATTTGCCTAAATTTCCAACTATGAGAAATTAAAATATTGGCTTGACTGTCACACGTTGAACAGCTATCACAGAGCGGGAGGCAAAGTGTTGCTTCCTAATGTGTGGTGAGAGATGGTCACTTGCAGGGATCTCGAAAGAAGCTCTGTATACTCCACTGTGGGTTGCCCTGCTTTAGGAGAGATTGGAATGGATACAGAACTTTGTCCATTGGCATAATGCAAGCACAATTCGTACACAATTGGGAAAATGTAAAATTATTATATTTATACTCTTGGTTCTTTCGGTAAAGTCGCGTAGAAGGGAAACAATAAAATAATAAAAATATAAAACAATAAAATTCTCACGACGTTTCGACTGCAACACAAGCAATCATCATCAGGTGTGAAAACCACAGCAAGAAAATTTGAAAATTTTCTTGTTTTTTTTTATTATTTTATTGTTTCCCTTCTACGTGACTTTACCGAAAGAACCAAGAATATGAATCCCTGCAGTCACGAAAGCCTTAAATAAAAATTGATTATATTTAATTTAAATTCCTGTATGACATGTTAGGGGCCGTCCATAAATGACGTCACGCACCTGGGGGGGGGGTCAGGCATTTGAGACGATGTGTGACGAGGGGGGGTTTGAGAAATGTGACGTCACATCAAAATACACAACTTTAAATATAGACAACACGTTCTACTTAATTAGACTTTTTAATAAATATTTTCTCCTACAACATCAGAGTGCAGCGCCACATTAAAGGCGCACTACAATGACAATACTTTAAGGCGATTTGAAGCATGTTTTATTTTTGGGGGGGGGGCAGAGCTTTGTGACGTCATATTTGAGGGGGGGGTTGATTTTTTGTGGCGCCGTGTGACGATGGGGGGGGGGGGTCAAAAATCGTCCAAAATCGCGTGACGTCATTTATGGACGGCCCCTTACATTGTGGACAATAGCGTGAACAATTGAAAAACAATACAAACGAAATTATGTGTTAAAATCGAGACGAAAAAAATAATGAAAACACTTGCCCTGACCCCCCCCACCCCCCAAATGTCTCTCCTCCAGCCCAGGTGTCACGCACCTGTATGATCCCTGCTGCCATTAGGTCCTGGTGCACGCAGCCTGGCACCGTCGCTCTGACGCTCACTCCGCCCTGCCGACTCTCCGCCGTCCACTCGGATCCACCGAGGTCGTGCGTCTCCGTCAGAGGGGTCCTCGGGGAACTTCGGGGGCGGTGTGGGCGACTCGACATCACCCCTAGTACCCCCATTGAAGCGCACAGCATCAGCATCCGCGATAGCAGCAGTGGAGCGAGCATGGTTGCAAAGATACGTGGGGGTGGGATGGGGGGGGGAGTGGTTAGCGCGGGGTCTAGGGGAATCTCCTTGGGTCCCCGTAGACTGAAGCACGGGACTCTAATCCCAGCGTTGGGGCTCAGGGTGTGGACTTCACGTGACTGCCGGGACGTGACGTTAGGCGCTGGGGCGGGCGTAACGTGGAGCTGTCCCTGGTGCCAGACGAGAGGTTTTTTTTGTTTGTTTCATATTTCCAATGGTTGGTTGCGTGTTTTGATTTTAAGCTTTCGTGACTGCAGGGATTCATATTCTTGGTTCTTTCGGTAAAGTCACGTAGAAGGGAAACAATTAAATAATAAAAATATAAAACAATAAAATTATCACGACGTTTCGACTGCAACATAAGCAATCATCATCAGGTGTGAAAACCACAACAAGAAAATGTGAAAAAAGTGGCGGTTTTTTTTTACGTTAGCACCACGGATAGCGATTTGACAGCTTGTTCAGATGGACGAGTCCATCTCCATCTGGCTACCATGAGAGATGCGTTCATGAGGCTATCCACATATACAAACGCAGAGACAATTTCAACCGAGAAGATGGATTCTGGCTTAGCAATCATTGGAAGGATTTGATAAACCATTTCGGGTCTTAATTGATTGATCACGCTTAAGGTGGCTTTCAGACCGCATCCAATCTTTTTCGTCTCCCCCCTCCTCTTTTCCGAACATAGATGGACTCGTCCATCTGAACAGACTGTCAAATCGCTCTCCATGGTGCTAACGTTAAAAATAACCGCCACTTTTTTCAAATTTTCTTGTTGTGGTTTTCACACCTGATGATGATTGCTTGTGTTGCAGTCGAAACGTCGTGATAATTTTATTGTTTTATATTTTTTATTATTTTATTGTTTTCCTTCTACGTGACTTTACCGAAAGAACCAAGAATATGGTTGCGCGTTGTTTGTTGTAAACAAGGCGACTCTTCTGTTATGCGAACGTTACGCCGTACGTGCATGTGTACTGTTTAGAGCTTTGTCAATCCACTGCTGGATGGAGGTCTCCCCAGTCCCACGCCGTGTCAGTAAATGCTCAACGCTCTGGGCAGATGAAGGTGCTCGGGACCAAGAGATGTGGACGCATTGAAGTAGAGTACAATCATGGATTTTTTTTCCCTACACAGTGCTCAGGTGATAACCACGTAGTCTGGCAAGCGGCCTATAACAACCTTTCTTTTTTTTATCTAACCTAAATGTGTATACTAGTGTAATAAGAGCAAGTTAAATGCCCTTTATTTTCCCAGAAAGATGCACCGAGTCTCAAGGCTACTTTTCAGGAGGTTCCTGATATGGGGGTTTGTGAACAATCCCATGAATGAGTGTTTGAGTTCGTGTGAAAAGAAACCACAACCCGGGAGAAAACCCTCTCAGCCCCATGCCTACAACACCTGGCAAGTCCTATTGGTGGTCACCAACCCAATTGCTCTCCAGGTTCAGACCGGCTTGGCTTCCGAGATATGACGACCAGATAGAAGTCATCATGCTGCAACTAATATAATGATAAGGTCAATACAGTATTCGATCAATATCACTGCAGGTGCTTTTTTGTGCAGACTTGCAAAGGTCTAGAATAGGAATGCAGTAGAGTTCAACATTTTATGTTCGTGATAGGGCGAATAAATAAATTCACGTGAACATGTGCACTGATGCCGACTTTATTGAAGGCGATATTGGCACGTAAAATAAATATTGATTTCTTCAGGACGTTTTTATTAATTACTATTTGGCTGTGTCGGGTGAAGGAGGCTGTACGACACATTTACTTATTTGACCCAAACAACAGTGTCTAGTTTTTCGGGGCTTTGTGGGGTAAATCTCATATATGGAAACTATAGCGACATTATTGGGTGTAATTCGATTTGAATACTTTGGATATTAACAGATAGCGCTGTATTTACTAAATTAAGAAACGATTTTTGTAATCCTTAACATTAAATTTTACACGCATTTAACGCTCAATTAGTAATCCACTTTTTTCAGTTCAGGAAAATGCAGCTCGTGACACGCGTCAAACTGGAATAAACCTAAAATAAGATTTCAATGATTAAACAAAGTAACAATTGTATTGCTTCGGATACATTTATTTGAAACCTAATTACATTAATAATTATTAAACGACACCAGGGGTCGGGGGGAAAAACATAAATATTTTCATACTCGTAGGTTCTTTCGGTAAAGTCACGTAGGTAGAAAAATAAAATAAAACATTTAAATATACCACGACGTTTCGATCGCAACACAAGAAGCGGTCGTCCTCAGACGGAAAAAATAATCCAGCAATGGAACTGCTGAACCAGCGAGAGAGCTGTTTCTACCCACGTGACTTTACCGAAAGAACCAAATGGTATGGATTCCTGCAGTCACGAAAGCTTCAAATCAAGACAAATATTTTCACCAACCTCCATTAACCAGCGTGGGGAAGAATGGTCAAACAATCCTCGTCACCCACAAGGTGTGATGAGGCCCTTCTTTCTTTTGGAATTGTTGGGGATTGCAACAGATTATAAATTGATGTCGAGATTTGACGTCCATTCGACTGCTCCAGGAGCAGCCTCGTGGATGTTTGAGATCTCTCCGTTGAATGATCCGATCGGGCAGTCGTTCACGAGATGTTGCACGGTCTGAGATGTCACAGCACCACACTCACAAACTGGACTCTCGTTCATTTTCCATTCATTGAGAAAGTGTCCAAGGGGGCCCTCATCCAATCATAGATATATTGACAAAACACGGACAGTAATAGCTAAACACATAACCGATGATACAGGCGTTGCCTTAATGCTTTCTGTGCACTTTTAAATAACACCGTGTTCATGTATTTTACATTTGGAAGCCTGACTTGAGCATGACGTATTTTTTTCACGAGGATCCTGCTCCATTTGGAAACCGAACCCAGAGAAACCTCACTACGCATAGGATGAGCTCTGCACAAAGAGATTCAATAATCTACTGCTCTACTGCCATCTCCTGTATGCCTCTGAACCTGACATTACTGTATCCGCTAACCCCAAGCAGTCTCCCATTCACGTATTAGCCAGGCTAAACAATGGCATTGTCAATTTAACATATTTTATCCAGAGGGGATACGCTTCGTGGTGGTGACATTTAAGTTCACTCACCGCTTGTTGTTGTAGAGGTTCATGGTTAGAATCCAGTGGCTGCGGTGGCTAAATGTTAACTCCTTCACCTGGTATGCAGGAGGTCGTGGATTTTGTCCCAACCCTGATGCCTGTATATTTGTAGTGTGCATGTTCTCCCCGTGGTGGCATGGATTTTTCCACATAAGCTATGATTTGTAGCCTGATTGCTTATGAAAAAGAGCTAATAGCTCAGTGCGCTTTACCCAGTAAATAAAACAGTGAAATATTGTAAATACTGCGGTGTGTATTGCCCATTCATGAAATACTACGCGGTGTCTGCTTTACACTGGACGTTTAAGATTCCGTGACATCATTTGCAAGAGCTAGGCCACTACAGCATGTCGGTATCATGGTCCAAATTTGCCAAAATACTGATCTATGTATATTTTTAAATGACACGTAAATGATCACAAAAATTGAGATTATATAGGAACCATCGCTCGACTGTGGAAACCTGGCAGGACCCTACTGCAAAATAATTATGATACTCAGCGAGGATTCCATGAGCAAACGAGCGGAATATTATTAGAAAAATTCCTCCTCCCAGTAAACGAAAGTGCAGTCCTGTGAGAGAGAAAAAAAAACAGCAGAGACCCAAGTAAATGTAACCCCCATCCCCACATCATTAACCCGGTAAACGTGCCAATGTTGGCCCAAGGTTGGCATGAGGTTAGTCGGTTCAACGTTGACAAGGATTTGCTCCAACGTTGACAACGATTTGGCCCAACTTCGGCTCAACGTTGACAAGGATTTGCCCCAACGTTGACAACGATTTGGCCCAACGTCGGCTCAACGTTGACAAGGATTTGCCCCAACGTTGACAACGATTTGGCCCAACGTCGGCTCAACGTTGACAAGGATTTGCCCCAACGTTGACAACGATTTGGCCCAACATCGGCTCAACGTTGACAAGGATTTGCCCCAACGTTGACAACGATTTGGCCCAACGTCGGTTCAACGTTGACAAGGATTTGCTCCAACGTTGACAACGATTTGGTCTAACGTCGGCTCAACGTTGACAAGGATTTGCCCCAACGTTGACAACGATTTGGCCCAACGTCGGCTCAACGTTGACAAGGATTTACCCCAACTTTGACCCAACGTTGACAAAGATTTGGCCCAACGTTGACACGCGGTTGGTCCAACGTTGACCCAACGTTGACAAGGATTTGGCCCAACGTTGACCCAACGTTGGCATGCGGTTGATTTTCCAAACGTTGATCCAACGTAGGGAATTGCGTTTGTAGCCCAACGTCCCACGTTTGTGCTGGCTACAATCCTCGTGTCAGACAGAGACAGAGAGAGGGAGCGAGCAACACGTTCTATTATTTTATTTTTTTACTTGCTAATGTTTGACGGGACACGCCCTGCCGACCCCGGCCAATATAAACCCCCACAAAGGCAGGCCCCACAGCATCCTGCCACGGCCCTCGGTACTTTTTGACTTGTTAAGAAGTGCGTGGTTTTAATCTCGGGGTGAAGAAGGCAAAATCTAGAAGTTTATTTTCTTCATCGCAGGTGAGAGAGACGGCGTCATTGTCGTGTGTGTATGTGTGTGCGTGTGTTGTGTGAGCGCCCGATTGTGTGTGTGTTGTTTTTTTTGTTAAATTAATATTTAATAGTTTGTCGCGCGTCAAAAATGCTTTTGTCGCGCGTCTGTTTTCGGTTACGGAATGTTTGTCTGTGTATTTATTTAAACGAATTGTGTTGATTAAATTCCCACATAGTGAGTTTGACGAGACGAGGGGGGGGGGGGGTTTGCGGGGAGCGGTGGCGCAGTGGTTAGCTCGCTGCGAGTTCCACGCCAAGCCACGCGGCTGACATCAGTGGCGAGCGATCCCTTCGCCGGGTCCTCACCGTGCGTGACCAACACGCTCCGTGACCAGCCTGATATGAAGTATGATCGGCCTGGCCTGGTGGTGGTGGTGGTGATGGGGAAGGCCTTCAACCAGCGGTGGAGCGACGGCGAGAAAAGGATTTATAATAATCGCGGTATTTTACTCGCATCGCACGAGGTTTTGTCAGCGTAAAATGGAGGCGTTTGTTACGGTCGTGTTTGGCTTGTGGCCAACAGGCGATTAGTTGACAACTTGTGCTCGGTGTTTTTAAAAATGCGTTCATTGTTGGGGAGGTTTTGTTGTTGCTGCCGCCTCGAGGTGTACCTAGCCTGGCACACGCACCGCGGTGACGTCACCCCCCCCCCCCCCACATACCGAGTGTTATTATTTATAGGTGTTCGCTAACAAGGCAACATCGTTAAAGATTAACTGTGTCCTTTAATTGTCTCGTCTTAGATCATTCATCGACAACAACTCACCTCGAACATGGCAGTAAGTCCAGCATCTCAAGGTCTACATACTGACACGCAAGGAGGGGAAGGGGGGAAAGAGCTTTATAGCTCATCGGATTTCTCCGGTGTAAATACATATTCTGAGATGAGAGACGATTTCAACATTATTTTGTACGGTATTCTCCCGATTATGTGGTCACACACACGCACAGCTGGCGAATTATATACGACGAACCCACAGTAAATGGTTTCTGCGTGGTTTAATAAATACGTAATTACGAACCGCAAACATAAATTTATTTTTTACACATTCTCCATTCTGCCCGATGTACCAAATCACCTGGAATGTATCGAATCTCGGACGCTAAGCACGATGTTTCGAACCCCTTGCATTGCGATCGAAACGTGATATTTTTATTATTATTTTTATTCACTTTATTTCTTCTATCAATGTTATTTTTTTTTACCGAAAGAACCATACAATGTTAATTCCTGCAGTCACGAAAGTTTAAAGTCAACATTTTATGGATTCGCTGTTGTACCTTCATGCAATCGCCCTTGCGGGCTTCGCGGACTTAAAGCGACAACGATGAGAAACCAGTTTGACAAGTCAAACCTGTTAATTCATAAACAATATACAAAATGCAGTGGCCACCGATGCATTCTACATCCTTCCACTGAATGGGGTGGGCTGTTTTATGATGTTGGTTGACCATGCATGCAGCATGCCTCTTGCCACTGATGTTAGCCATGCTCGGGTATTTAACTCAGCCCTCTAGGTTCATAGCCCGTGCACTATCTCACCATTGATTGGTTCCACTCTTAATTACATATCTACCTTTGGGTATTAGCCATTGCATGTTAACTTACCTTTCTTGCCGTCTAATTTGCACATTACCTTCTTGAGTAGTCCACTATTCAGCAGGTTATGTTTTTAATACAGCCAATTATTTCATAGTTTTGTATTGTGAAATGCAGTGGATTTGAAAATGCGGTGACAGTACCCATATATCATTAAACAAAACTCAACACATCTTTATTATTTTTCGGTTCTTGCGGTAAAGTCACCTAGAAGGGAAATAATAAAAGAAATAAAATAAAACAATAAAATTATCGCGACGTTTCGATTCCAACACACGCAATCATCATCAGGTGTGAAAACCACAACAATACATTTTTTGAAAAAAAGTGGCTTTTTTTCTTAATTTTTATTTTTATATACTTTTTTTTATTTCCCTTCAACGTGACTTTACCGAAAGAACCAAGAATATGAATCCCTGCAGCCACGAAAGCTTTAAAACGAAATCTTGTTATTTGTGCTTGTGTACCACTCACAACACGGCATTTACCAAATAATTGGTATCACATTTTTAAATCTGGCATGCTAGCTGCGTGGTATATGGGAAGGTATCGGCCCCGTTTGTTGACCCGTGGCTAACTGGGCAGCAGCAGGGGTTATTCTGGCCTCCACGTGTCATCCTTTATTCATCTCTTTGCTCTGCTGCCCTTTTCTGGCTTAGATCAGAACGAGATTCTCCTCCGAATCCACGCACTTGCACTGCGCACGGTGGCGATCTAGACCAGTGTGTGTGTGTGTCCTGGTTTCTCGATGCTGGCTTTGTTGAGTATTAAAAGTTTAATAAATAGTTATCCTGTTAGCAAAGCAAAGGCCTAGATTTTTTTTCAAGTAACTACTGCTTATCCAGTAAAGTTTTCCTGGATGGATAATTACAAATCTACTGTATACTGTAAAACTACATATCTGGTGATTCTGCTGCTGCGTTAGCAGTGGTGCATAATTAACAAATAGAGTGATCTCGGCACGTTCGTCTATAACACCGAGGCCTTAATAGGAAATCGAATAGGTGATTTCACATAATGGCCAATTGCATCTTGCATTCTTATATACAATACCCGGATGAGTTACTTGAAGCAAGCTCATCGGTCAATGTAGGTGCTTCTCCCACAATATTAAAATATAGTTTAAAAGTCCGTGAAATTACTGCCCATTTAAATACTGTAGTCAAGCCCGATTGCATTGGCATCGGGTTAGGTTTGGCAGTACAGTAAATCTTCTCAAGACAGTTGTTTATGATTTATAAATATAATATTAACACAGACCATATGCTGAGGCATAATGATGATGATTGCTTGTGTTGCAGTCGAAACGTCGTGAGAATTTTATTGTTTTATATTTTTATTATTTTATTGTTTCACTTCTATGTGACTTTACCGAAAGAACCACGAATATGAATCCCTGCAGTCACGAAAGCTTTAAATCTAAATTATCCCTGAGTTGAGGCTAATTTTGTAAAATTATGGAATAGCTTTGAAATCAAATATCCTTGGTGTATACGTTTCCTATTTTCTTTTGACCTTAAAGGTGCTCTCTTAAGTTACACTACCTTAAAACGTAAATATACATAACTCCATTCTACTTCTCCACATATCAACACAAATATGTTTTAGTCCATCTGTCTGTTGGCTTTCCCCAGACCCTTGCTATCAAGAAGCGTCAATTTAAGCAAGCGAACTCTGGACTGGTTTTACCTCTTGGGTTTCGTCAGCAGAGTCTGCCTTGTTGAACAAATGCTGCTGGATTATTAGATGTTGTTGGGTAAGAGTACTCGGTTTAAATATGGGAATCCATTGAACGCATTCACCTTCGGAAATTGTGCTGCCATAGACAAAGCATAAATAGTTAATGAGTAACCCACGGTAATGAGTTAACAACGCTGCTCCAGGGCAACGCTAATGAGTTCGTGTCCAGTCACATGGGTTGTTAAGGCACAGCTGATCAAATATTTTGTGAGTGGTAAATACAAGCTGGTGTGCCATTGGGGAATTTGATCTGGGGAGCAGTGGTGCCAGTGTTCCGAGTGATAAAATAGGGTTCACAGAACACTAATTGAGGTGACCATGCACCTGGCTCCGTTGTCCGTTTACCCTACCACCGGACCTCGTGAGTGCGATGCAGTCAAATTTAATTTTCTGGCTTGTTGCGCTTTCTTAACACTGCACAGCATGTAGGTTGCAAGCGGCAGTTTTGTGTAATATTCAACCACGTGTTCCTCTTTTATTTGCTATTGCTATATTTATAGCGTAACTGTGTGCGCTTTGCATCTGCTGTTAATGTTGCCGCGTTGGCTTTTGTGGGTTTTTTGTGCCAAACATTCCGGGCGATTAGCCAGAATGAGCGTTTTCGTGCTGAGGATGTGTGCCAGGACATAGATTATGCAACTTTGTTATTACTTTAATAAACAATGGGTCTCGAGCGATGGAGCATGAGAGAAGCAGCTGATAATTGAGCCCAGCCTCTGTAAAAGCCAGTGTGGATTTTCTACTTTTACTATTCCTTCATTTCACAAGCACGGTTAATCCACTACCCGACTAATCGCCCATAGACACTAAAGTGTTAACTGTACATTATTTGTTAATATTATACAGGGCAATCCATGTAAATATACAGTGAGGGGAAAAAAGTAATTGATCCCCTGGTGATTTTGTACGTTTGCCCACTGACAAAGAAATTATCAGTCTATAATTTTTATTGTAGGTTTATTTGAACAGTGAGAGACAGAATAACAACAAGAAAATCCAGAAAAGCACATGTCAAAAATGTTATAAATTGATTTGCATTTTAATGAGGGAAATAAGTATTTGACCTCTCAATCAGAAAGATTTCTGGCTCCCAGGTGTCTTTTATACAGGTAACGAGCTGCGATTAGGAGCACACTCTTAAAGGGAGTGCTTCCAATCTCAGATTGTTACCTGTATAAAAGACACCTGTCCACAGAAGCAATCAATCAATCAGATTCCAAACTCTCCACCATGCCCAAGACCAAAGAGCTCTCCAAGGATGTCAGGGACAAGATTGTAGACCTACACAAGGCTGGAATGGGCTACAAGACCATTGCCAAGCAGCTTGGTGAGAAGGTGACAACATTTGGTGCGATTATTCGCAAATGGAAGAAACACAAAAAACTGTCAATCTCCCTCGGCGTGGGGCTCCATGCAAGATCTCACCTCGTGGAGTTGCAATTATCATGAGAATGGTGATGAATCAGCCCAGAACTACACGGGAGGATCTTGTCAATGATCTCAAGGCAGCTGGGACCATAGTCACCAAGAAAACAATTGGTAACACACTACGCCGTGAAGGACTGAAATCCTGCAGCGCCCGCAAGGTCCCCCTGCTCAAGAAAGCACATATACATGCCCGTCTGAAGTTTGCCAATAAACATCTGAATGAATCAAAGCACAACTGGGTGAAAGTGTTGTGGTCAGATGAGACCAAAATGGAGCTCTTTGGCATCAACTCAACTCGCCGTGTTTGGAGGAGGAGGAATGCTGCCTATGCCCCCAAGAACACCATCCCCACCGTCAAACATGGAGGTGGAAACATGCTTTGGGGGTGTTTTTCTGCTAAGGGGACAGGACAACTTCACTGCATCAATGGGACGATGGACGGGGCCATGTACCGTGAAATCTTGGGTGAGAACCTCCTTCCCTCAGCCAGGGCATTGAAAATGGGTCGTGGATGGGTATTCCAGCATGACAATGACCCAAATCACACGGCCAAGGCAACAAAGGAGTGGCTCAAGAAGAAGCACATTAAGGTCCTTCAGTGGCCTAGCCAGTCTCCAGACCTTAATCCCATAGAAAATCTGTGGAGGGAGCTGAAGGTTCGAGTTGCCAAACGTCAGCCTCGAAACCTTAATGACTTGGAGAAGATCTGCAAAGAGGAGTGGGACAAAATCCCTCCTGAGATGTGTGCAAACCTGGTGGCCATCTACAAGAAACGTCTGACCTCTGTGATTGCCAACAAGGGTTTTGCCACCAAGTACTAAGTCATGTTTTGCAGAGGGGTCAAATACTTATTTCCCTCATTAAAATGCACATCAATTTATAACATTTTTAACATGCGTTTTTCTGGATTTTGTTGTTATTCTGTCTCTCACTGTTCAAATAAGCCTACCATTAAAATTATAGACTGATCATTTCTTTGTCAGTGGGCAAACGTACAAAATCAGCAGGGGATCAAATACTTTTTTCCCTCACTATATCCAACGAACGAATGACCCCCTTTGCTTTGCACTCAATAGGTGATGTGAATCTTATGTCATCAAAGTGATAACAACCATCAATTACAGAGAAGGGAAGTGTTAATTCATTTGATTCATGTGTATTGAGATGGCTGGGAGTCGGAAGGACTATTTGTTGGTTTGTCTATAATTTCCACCCCATATTTAAATTTCCACCCCTATTACCGTTTATGCATGACCTTGTATATGGTTTCCCCATAGTACGTGGCTGGTCATGTGCTGCTTGCTGTTGAGCCTCGGGAGAGCACAACTAATCTGTCACCGAGTTTATAATGAGCTATTTTAAATTTAAATCAAGAAACATATTCTTGGTTCTTTTGGTAAAGTCACGTAGATGGGAAACAAAATAATAAAAATATAAAACAATAAAATTCTCACGACGTTTCGACTGCAACACAAGCAATCATCATCAGATGTCAAAACCACAGCAAGAAAATTTGAAAAAAGTGGCGGTTTTTTTAACGTTAGCACCACGGAGAGCGATTTGACAGTTTGTTCAGATGGACGAATCCATCTATGTTCGGAAAAGAGGAGGGGGGAGACGAAAATAATGGATGCGGTCTGAAAGCCACATTACGTGCGATCAATCAAGACCCGAAATGGTTATTGTTTTATATTTTTATTCTTTTATTGTTTCCCTTCTACGTGACTTTACCGAAAGAACCAAGAATATGAATCCCTGCAGTCACGAAAGCTTTAAATCAAAATTCAAGAAACATTGTTTTGCTCTGCTCCGAAGAAGGGCTGTTGTTTGTACGTTGAACTTCTTTCGCACCGTACGTAGCCAACCGTGCCAATCGGAGGTGCCTGAAACGTCGGCATATTACATGTGTAGATATGTAGGGAGGCTTTGAAATAAAATGTAGTTTTCTCTAATTTATCTCTATTTAGTGTGGTGTCTATAAACGGAATCACCCTATATAACGGTCAATTATTTGGTGCTGCTGCGTTGGCAGTGGTGCACAAGCACAATTAACAAACATAAACCCCAACAAATTTGTCAATAACACTGGCCTTAAAAGGGGAAAATATACAATGGGTGACGTTTCGGTCAATGGCCCTTCGTCATCGCACATAGAGAGGCCGTAGAGATAGGGTGGATAATCCAGAAGATTTGGAGACAGAACTTTATGTCATAGTTTATTTATTTTTCAGTTGATTTGTTTTGGTATAGCCCTGTGAGCCATTCGGCTCTTGAATCGGGTGCAACCACAACAAAAAAACAACCCAAAAACACGAACAAGAAAACATCTTAAAGTGACTATGTGACTGTGCAAACAGAAAATCCATGAAAAAACCCAGCAAAATATTCCTGAAAAAAGCACCGGACACCAACGCTGTGTGCAAAAAAAAAATCCCAGTGGGATGCAAGTCAAACAACAACAACAAAAACCACAAGAAAACTTCGATTAAGGCCATCAGTCTAACTCCGTACTACAACAAAACAAACATGTCCCAACCAAAAAACGTTTTCGAAATCACCAAAAAAGAAAGCCATAATTGCAACGTAACAGTGATCATAGGGACGAGATTAAAGTACAGTGGTACCTCGGTATACGTCGTTAATTCGTTCCAGAAGGTAGGAGGACTTACACCGAAAACGACGTTTACCAAACGAGTTTTTCCCATAAGAAATGAAGGGAAAGGAAATAATCCGTTCCAGAGTATAAGAAATTATATTTTATATGGCATATTATACATTAATGTGGTTGTGTAACATAATGTAGACACTACTTAGTACTAAAATGCATACATACATTAAAATAAATGCATAAATAATTTAAAATAAATTGAAATAAAAATAAAATGTAACATCACTTTACCTTGCTGAGAGGAGTTGATAGCCTACGAGGATGGTGGCGAGGATGGTGGGGAGGAGGAGGAGGAGATTGAGGAGCGGCGCTTTGTTTCAGTCGTGAACGGGGGTACACGCGGGTACGCAGTGACTCATCCCGACCCATACAAGTTCTAGCAAGCGCGTCCTATCCCAAGCAAGACGTCGTATCCCAACACATTTTTTTTCCCTCGTCAAAACACGACGTATACCAAATTCGACGTTTTCCAAAGCGGTCGTATACCGAGGTATGACTGTATTAAAATGTTTGATTTAAAGCTTTCGTGACTGCAGGGATTCATATTCATGGTTCTTTCGGTAAAGTCACGTGACTTTACCGAAAGAACCAAGAATATGTATTAAAAATGTTTTCCCGGTGACAGTTTTTTAAACTGACGAATGCGCCCAGTCTTCATTAATAACGGTAGAAAGGTACGTTCAGCGGTGCCGTTCTGAGCTGTGTTCACGGTGTGGCGATCAGGCAAGGGGCACTGTGCGCGAGGCGTCTGGCTTCAATGCCCTGCAAGACGCGGAAAAGCTTCGCAAGGCCATGAAGGGCATTGGTAAGTAATTCTACGCCTTGCACACTTCAGCGATGCTATGCTTGTCGCAAGGTGGAGGGGAGGGTGCACTCATTTCAGCCAGTGTTTTGGAGAAGAGATTGGTGGCTGGTAGAGTAAGTACATCTACAAGTCGATGTACGTGTGTTTACGATAGGCTCACACTGATGCTATTGCCTCGACGACTGTATGTATGGCTGGAACAGAAAGACTTCTTCACAATTCTGGCTAATCGCCTGATGAAGCTAGTTGTAATCACCAGCGACACGTCGTACTCGAATCGTAAATGTAGTGGCTTTACTCTCCAACACACCAGTGTGCTAAAGTATATAACAAACCTTACTAACTAGCGTTCTGCCCGTCCTAGGACGGAAGCTGTAATATTTACAAAAAAAATTGAGCTGAGTAATAATTGTATCTCGTGTAAATTTAATGGCAGTGACTCTTGCACGAAAGTATGTCATCAAACACTTCACTGAATTTAATTGTACTGTATTAATGGCAGTGATGCACAAACTACGTCATGAAACACCTAACTTAATGTCACTGTAGCACTGTTTAACTGACCTTCAATTGGCCTTTTGCCCATCCTAGAACGGAAGCTGTAACATTCAAGATGAACATTTACGTTTTCTTGTGTGATTGTATATTCTTTTAGGAATTGTTGCACGTAAATACATTTTTCTTAACTTCCGGAACGAATTATGCTCAAAATCCAAGGTTTTACTGTATTTGATTAACTTTAAATAAAGAAACGTCGAATTGAAAGTGGATTTTGCTCCACTGCCTTCTGATGCCAACCGCATAGCCCTGAGAGGAGGATTATAAAGTGCCCAGTAAATGTAAAGTAAAGCTCGTATGTTGCTGATCTACATGTATCGATTTTTGTTCGTTATCCCAACTTTGCTTCAGGTTTTCTCAGGAAATGTCGTATCCTCTCACGTGCGAGAAGCTCGTTGATTAATTTACAAATCATCTCCAGCTCATGGTTGGGTGTTTGTCTCCTTAATATGGTCTTAAAGATTCTCTGGGCAAATTAACTTTTCAGTCGTTCCATCCCCGGGACCCTTTGATCAGCGCCAACATGGTTGCTTCGCTTTGAATTTGACTGAGTGATTGGTTTTATTTTTAACCAAATGAAAGCGTTGACTTAAAAAATTTCGAACAGGGTTGCTCTATGTTCATTTGGCAAGCAGAGATCGTTGCAATGTGACACCAGTGGCTGTAGGGAAGTCTACAAGTTACAAGTGGGACATCTGTGTTGCTGCTAGGAGGGGCAGCGGTAGTGTTGCAAGCTGTGGTTGGCAGAGCGATGGCAGATGTGGGAGCAGCCAGTAGGTTGAATTGAGCAAGGGCTGTGTTTTGTTTCAAAAGTCTTTTGTATACTGTAGTTGTACACGCATGGACATGGCATACACTTGAATCGCACTGACCATAGGGAATTTCTACTATCGGCATTTACAGTTTTGTTGTATAGCTGTGTACAGCTCTGTGTTGTATGTTTGGCACGATGTCCAATGATTTGCTGCACCTTGCTGGGAGCTTCTGCAGGAACTGAATTCAGGATCTGACAGTGGCAGACTTCTTCATTTGTAATCTTCCCTACAGCCCATGTCACATTGCAACACCTTCCTTGACAAATAGAGAGAACTTTACTAGATCTTTCAAGTAAATGTTTTCAGCTGATTTAAAAACAAGTTAAAATCTGAATCGTGAATTTATGATTTGGTATAGGAGATGAATTTCATTCCTGGAGAAGTTCCCGGCATGTGTCGGGAACTGTGTCGCGAAACGTCGGACATCAGGGAGAACAATCTGCAGTACAACTCGAAAATGCATCAGAGAGTCATACAGCACAACCCTGAACCTCCACAGTAGAACCCCTCCTAACGTCCAGCGTGATTCATGCCATTTGCACGCGCATTTGTGTGCGTGTATATAAATACACACAAGACTGTTACGTGTGAAGGTGTGTCCTGCACAGAGTGATCATGCCTCCAGGCTCGGACTCCCATGAGAATCTCGTCTGAGCAACGAGTCCAACTGGATATACAGCCTGAAACGGATGTGGTTACCCACATAGTTTGCCAGTGAGTAGATGGAAATGTGTCCAAAATAATCAATTACTATGGCTAATAGGATTCTAACTTGAGCTGCCAAATATGAGTGTATCTGTTTAATCCCTGAAATGAAATAACAACAACCAGATTATGGGCATTTCATGCTATTTAGGCACGTAACAAGGCATCGATTAATTTAATATTAATGAAGACAATATGGCATCGGATCGCATGTGTGTCTATATATTTATGTTGTTTGACCATACTTCACCAGCATGGTGGTTTATGGTCAAACAACCCCCATGACCAACATGGCATTGGGAGACTTGCATTCTTCGGGGGATGCCGGAGGGCTGTGATGGTAGAGCCTGTGCTCCATTTATTGCACACCCATTGCGAGCTTGTTTCTTGAGAGCGGTAATCGCGATGGATGCTCTCTGTGCGCGTGTGAGCGCAGGCACGGACGAGCAGGCCGTTATCGACGTGCTGGCCTGTCGCAGCAACGCTCAGCGCCAGCAGATCGCCCTCAACTTCAAGTCGGCGTATGGGAAGGTGCATACCCCACCCCCCCACCTCCTTTAGTCCTCTACCGGGTGGCAACCTCTATCCCCTCCCGATTTTTTTGAATTTCACTTCTTCATTTCACTCATTCGTTCTATTTAAACTAAAACTATTGAAACTATTTTTTATTTTACCAGGTAAGGCCCACTGAGCTATAAAGCTCTCAGAAGCGACCTGGCCACAAGTGATATTTTTATGAAGTGGCCTATCGTGTGGAAGTTTATGACAGGCAAATACTCTTAAACGCATGTTTCTAAAGTCGTCAAGCAGCATCTTAATTGTTATGCCCCTTAGCCACTTGCCCAACGTCCTTCCAGAACTTACTCTTGGGCTCTCTTATAAAATCCTTCCTTCCAGAACTTCATTCATCAAGCAGTCGCCTCTAAGAATATTCCTAATTCACATCTATTATCCAATTACGCATTGTTATAATAAGGTTTGTCTCAACCTTAACCTGATCGAGGACTTCCTTCACACTGATTTTCTCTATTTAACGCCATACCCACATCTCAAGACTCTCAAGTCTTCTTACGTCACACCACATGGGTTTACATAGAAATACATACATTAAAGGATTGCATTGTCATTGGTTGCACAAGCACATCTCAAGAAAGATTTGCCGTGTTTGTCATGATCACCACCTTGAAACAGAAATCCCTTCAAACCCACATTTACCAGCGTGGTGAAGTATGGTCAAACAACTCTCATGACCTGCATTGCATGGGGGGTCCTTCATCAAACAGTGGATTAATAAATGGCTACAAATAATTTATGGTACGCGCAGCCCTGCTTTCTTATGCCACTGCTGGCAGAAGGGCCTTCACTGGGGGGTATTTGGCCTACTCTTCCACACTGGCCAGACATGTTGGAAGAGCTGGGAGTGCCCACACCCTGCCCCACCGCACACAACCTGCCGCTATACGAACGGTATTGTACCCATTTACACTGCTGAGTGGACAGCGGTGGGTGATCGTTAAGGAGAGAGCCCATCGTTTCGACTGCCGTACCAAGAGATCGAACCAAGGACCTCTGGATCGCACGTCCAGCGTGCTCACTGTTACACTGCGGCAGCATCCACGCTTGTTATTGAACTGTTCAGTCTCAAATCGACTGGACAGGATCGGTGTGGTCGCATTGACAGGTGGGCGATGTCAGACGCCCAGTTTGGCGTCGGAAACTTTGCCTACCTTCGCCATCACGCGCTTCAATTTGCGCAATGCGCGACGCGTAGCCACCACTACTCACCCGCACTTCCCGGGTCCCCTCCGCAGGACTTGACCGACGAACTCAAGTCCGAGCTGTCGGGAAAGTTCGAGACGGTCATCCTGGGTCTGCTCATGCCGCCCATCAAGTACGACGTGACTCAGCTGAGAGAAGCCATCCAGGTATGGGTGCGGGGGGGGGGGGCCACTGGGCAACCCCAGAGGCTGGGGTTGGTGGGTCGTGCAGAGGTTGTGCGGGGCCGATGAACATGGTACAGACTTAATATAGGGGGTTTTTTTTTGGGATAGATCGCGTAGATGTAGAAAGTTCTATTTCAGGAAGACTTCACAATTCTGGCTATCGCCTGATGAAGCTGGTTGTTGTAATCCCCAGGGAAACGTCGTACTCGAATTGTAAATGTTGTGGGTTTACTCTTCCAACACATCGGTGTGCTGAAGTAGTAACTAATTGACACATTTTGTTTACGTGACAAACCTTACTAATTGGCTGTGCCGCGTGGTGGCAGGTTTAACGGCACGCTTATATTTATGCGATTTAGCCCAAAAAAAAACTTTATGGATGATATTGGTCGTGAAAGCCTACGTGTTCAATAGTACAGACTCATGTTAACCCTCTATTTTTACAGCTGGGACGATAAGTCGGCTGATTATTCAGGTGATTACTTTTCTTGTGGTCTCTTACTCTTGACCGTCAAAAGTGGTAGTCCCTCCCCCGCGTCCTGCCCCTCCTGAAGGCGAGAAACCTCCTCCTACAAGCCCCTCCCAGTGTGATGCCGCCGATGACGACGCTCAGCCCCCCCCATGACCTCTCGTCCAGTGGAAACACGTTTCATATTTTGGGAGATTGGTTTACCCTGAATCTGGCATTTGTGAGAACCGCCGGTTTTGGAGCTCGCGTCTGTTCATGTTTTCCACCCTTTGGTCTGATGGCTAGCGCCAGGGCACGCAGTGTGAATGCCCGGAGCCATTCGCCAACAATTTTTTAAGAATGAGCGCATCGCGGAAATCACATTAAACACGCTTTCTGTTTTTAACATGCAGTTCTGTACAGCTAGCTCGAGCTCCTCGTAAACAAACTGTTGGCAACGTAGTACTGCTGTTTCAGTACAAAAGGAACCAAACACATTTTAATTTACAAAATGTAATAGATAACGTGTGTCGAAATAGATTGTTGGGGACCGTCTATGTACTGGTGTTTTCTAAAACAGAAAAATATTTTACCAACATTTTCTTGAATTAAGCACTGGGTTTAAAATAAACTTTGTTCCAATGAAATTGCATTTTTCTTCTATTCAAGTTGATGGCAATATTGCCAGATCAAATATGTAAAATCTTAAAAAAAAAAAGGAATCCTCATGCAAACAAGAGAAAAAAATTGTCTTTTATATTTTTTCCAAATAAATGCATTTCAAGTTTATTTTTGGTTTAACCAGGTGAGACAACAGCTGGTTTGGGGGGGGTGATGCTGTGTCGCAGTGGTTCGCACACACTTCGCTATGAACCCAGCGACCAGAGTTCGATTCCCGGCCACGGCTGATATCTGAACTTGTCCTGACCCTTCCTGTCACCAACCCGCACTGTCCCACATGGAGTACTATGTTCTTTGGGTCTTTCGGTAAAGTCACGTAGATAGGTTCAAATAAAATAACAAAAACTACGACGTTTCGATCGCAACACAAGCGGTCGTCTTCAGGAAAAGGAGGGTTGGCTTCCAAAGGCAAACTATTTATAAGGGTTTGAAATGGGCATAGCCCAAATGTCAGCAGCCAATGTTAATGCAAATGGTGGGCAGCCAACCCGACGGTGGTTGGTTTTTCACCAATCAAAGGGCTACCTGGATTTACCATTACATGCTGATCTCTCATTAACATGCTAATTTTCACCTGGCAGCCCTTTGATTGGTGGAAATGCAGAAGTAATGCCTTGCAAAAGGTATCTATTTGGTTTTTGAACATCGTAACGCCTATTTTATTTCCAGAAAGGTTGAAGTCTATTCTTATATATTTCTTATCGCGATCCGTTTTTGTTAATTGTGTTTGTGCACCACTGCTAACGCAGAATGACAAATAGTTGCTACAATCGATTTCCGAATCCACAAATCTTCCCGTGCCTGCCTTTCCCCCCACCCCACCTCTTCCTGGAACGATCGATGCAGGGTGCCGGCACGAATGAGCGATGCATCATCGAGATCATGGCATCACGTGGAAACCGAGACATTCTAGAGATCGTGAAGCTCTACAAAACCCGTGAGTGCCGACCTCGCGACCAGCCAGCACGCTACCACCATCGGAAGCAAAAAATCCGTTCAAGTTGCTCGACAATAAAATACTTATCCGTGACCCCCGACCCACCTCAATTGATCTGCAGAAACTATTCCCAGGAACTCTTATGAACAAACGGATTTGTATCATTGTTGAGTGATCTCCCAGTAGTGCCAAATTCGCCCTATCTTGCGAGTCTTTTGTGCAGATAAGAGGAAGCAAATACATTTTGTTATCTACAGATAACCGCACGGATAAGAGCGATTTCCTTGGATAATAGAATCTCCAGATAGTTCTACTCAAATCAGAACCTGTGGTGCAGCCAAAGACAAATGATCATGAAAACAAACAAGTGTGCAAAAATAATCAAGCACGGGGAAAAAAATCATCTCTCAGCAAAATAAATATGCGGTTCTTTTTGTAGTCTTTGAGCCGATGGAGGAAATGTTTTGTGTGTGTGTTCATGTGTACACTGCGTGCTATGAGGGAGCGATAGCGCAGCGATTTGTGCACTCGCTGCTAAGAAAAATGCAACTTGAGTTCGATTGCCAACCACGGCTAACATCAGTGGCAAGCAATATTAGAACTGGTCCTGGGTCGACCTGGCCTTAAATGAGTGTCTTATGCAGTGTTTTAAGCATGAGCACTTGGAAGACAACAGTGGCAGTGCTGGCACGCAACACCTCCTCCTTCATCGGCGCCCGCTAACAGCACTCACTCCCAACGGCCTTTGTGAGGATTGCACCGTGGGTGTTTATTTGCCGTCCTCTGTGCGCTCTGCGCAGAGTACCATCGCTCTCTGGAGGATGACCTCGTGTCGGATACTTCGGGATACTTTGAGCGAGTCCTCGTTTCATTGTCAACAGTAAGTGCACACCACGTGTACTCGGAGCGTTGCCCCCTCGTGCACTTGTGGGTTTACTCCGGGTGCTGCGGTTTCCTCCCACTCATTAATTGACTGAAATTTTTTTTAAAGAAATGTAAAAAAAACCCAATATAGGACACTCCTTCAAGTATTTTTTTTATTTGATTACACATTTACCAAGAAACGCCTCATTTGAGTCTGAAGAATATTTTATCGGGAGGGTCCTGATTTGTTGTAACGTGGTCTGATCCAAATCCCATGCCTCGGGTACCGTATTTTCAAGATCATAAGGCACACTTTTTCCCTGTCGTTTAAAGCAAAGTCGGGCATTCGTCTTATAATCCCGTGTATGTGTGTGTGATTGACCAGATTTGTTTAAGTTTATTGACACTGGGCACCAGTTTGGAGTGCATCCTCTTTTAATCCACGGTGGTGAGATGTTAACTACCTTGCCTGGTATACAGAAGGTCGTGGATTCGATTCCGACCCTGACGTCTGTATATTTGGAGTTTGCGTTTCTCTCTACCCATGGTCGTGTGGATTTTTCTCCGGGTCCTCTGGTTTTTCCCTTCACATTTAAAATCGATATCACGTGTGTAAATATTTGGCCGCTATAAATGTCCACACGATGATAAGCCACTTCGTTGAGCTATCATTTGTGGCCAGGTCGGTCCTGATAAAGAGCTCAGTGGGCCTTACCTGATAAAATACTAAAATAGTTCATAGTTTAGCTTAATTCTGGAGACTCCCATGAACAGTGACAAAGGATGTTCTCTTTCTCGACTCGCCAAGGGCAACCGTGACGAGGGGACGTCCATTGACGACGCTCTTGTGAAGAAGGACGCGGAGGTGAGCGGTCCCGCACCGGCACCAGGGCTTTATCTCTCAAGGTTTTTGTTGCAATGGAAGTGGCCGGGTGTCTCGGGGGTTCGCAGCGCAGAGACGGCAGCGCCGAATCCCTTGGTTGGGGATACGAGTTTCAAGCCGCCTGTGGTTTAAGACCTTGTTACCAACGTTTTGTTTATTTTTGTGAAAATGCATCCCTGCGAATTAACAATATCAGTTTCTATTTATTAGTACAGTAGCGGAACATTTCTCAGTAGCAGCTCACGTGGGAGAGTTCTCTTCTCGTGTGGTTGAGAGGTCACTTGAAGGCGTCTCAGAAGTAGTTTTGTGATGTCTCCTTCTGCGAGCCTTGCTAAAACAAATGGGGTGGACTGGTTTTGCAAGAGATACAAACGGTAAACTTAGTCTCATGGCGCCACGTTGATATCACAGTCGGAGTAAAATTGTCGGAAAACCTCTTTTCGATGCAAACAAGACCATCCCCCCCCCACCCTAACACCCGCGGGTCACCCACCTTCTATATGTCCCCTACCACCACGGTGGCTGGTGTTCCGTGCGGCCTCCAGACGCTCTACCAGGCCGGCGAGAAGAAGACCGGGACGGACGAGACGGCGTTCGTGATGATCCTGTGCAGCCGCAGTGTGCCCCACCTTCACAAAGGTCCGTCGCGCACGGAGAGTGAGGCCCTCTAACACTTAGTCCTGCTGCTTCCAGGCCAGGTAATGAGGCCCGTAACTTCGATTTGTACCGCCCACGACCACATGAGGGCTACCACTTTTGAATCTGCCTGCACACGTGTATCCGTCGTTACAAGCTTCTTAGCTGCAGTCGTTGGGTACTAGAGGGGGCAATATTTTTGGCCCGACCACAACACTTTGTATCTAATGTTAGTGTGCTCGGTCACTTCCATGACTGAATGAGCCTTTTGTAGTGACTGAGGTGGGTGGGTGTGTTTTTAATGTGACCCGCCAAGGGTAAAGTCCAATTCGGCCCTCGATAAGAAGAAAAATAATACCACACCGCTGTTATAGACTCAATGTAATCGCATGCAGATTATGTATACATATGATTGCTTTGTATTGCTCTTGACCATTGCAACTGGCTGCTTAACGGAGTGACTTTTTGTGAACATTTTCAGAATGGGGCATGACCCTGGTTCCCTGTATTCGGTATCTTTCGTCTCCGGATTTTGCCACTTGGTGGCAGCAGACGCATCATGTGCGTGGATCCCAAACAAATCCTAAATTCGCTCGCGTGAAATATTGTAACTGGTTGAGAATAGATGGAACCGGCTGTAAGAAATATGATACACTAGGGCCGAGATGTACATGTAAAGCCCCGTTGACAATCTACTGCTGGGCGAGGGGTCTCCCCTGCACACAAGACGGTGTCTGGGACGGAGCTGCAGAGATGAGATAGGCTCATGTGCAGGGCCTGGGTGGATTTTTTTTGTATCGTGGGACCATGAGAGATACTGACTGCTTGGTGGAGGCCTTCATCCAGCAGCGGATTCATCATGGCCGGTGATGATTATGATGAGTGATTGATGATCATTACGATTAATCAGTGGTGTTGTGATGGTGACGGGACAGTGTTTGAGGAATACCAGCGAATTTCCGGCAAGGACATTGAGCAGAGCATTAAGAGCGAGATGTCTGGAAGCGTGGAGGATGCGCTGCTGGCTGTGGGTAAGTCGCACCGTGCACACGGCACACTGTGCCATGTGTGTGTGTCACACCACAAGACGTCACAACGAGGTCAACAACACTATCCACACCAAGCTACAACACCACAATGTTGTGCTTGCATGACACCTCTTTTGCACCACACAACATTATCCCAAACCACGTTGTGCTCTGCGCCACACCATATCCAAGGCACTCTGCGCCCATACCAAGGCATGCCATGTCATACCACAGCATCTATGCCACGTCATATCATACCAACACCAACCTGCACTGTCATCAATGCTCTTCATTCCACCCAACAAACACGGCGCCACACTGTCACACTGTATACAATGCCCTGGTTTTATTTTTTTAACACTTTCCTACGAAGATTGATAACGTAAACACATGAGCTCTGTCTGTCCGTCCTTATGTCTGCCATATGGAGGCAGGATGACTCTGGTGAAGTTGATCCAATATGAATACAACTTTTGTGTAAAGTTATGTTGCTATTAGGGACTTTCCCGATATAAAACATACTCAATCGATCAAAGGCTTGTCTAAATTTTGAAGACAAAAACCAGAACTAAAAGGGCTCTCTATTCCCCGGCCTTACCGGCTATGGCACGCCTCCCTGGCACAGCTGCTAAGCGAACCCCGAGGCCTCGCTGTGGCCTACAGACATACTACTTCCTGCATGCCTGGCGCTAGTGTAACTGTTATAACTGCTGATTAAATACCTGCTAATGACGAACACATGTTGCAAAGTGTTATATAATCCATGCATGCGCATGGTGTTGCTTCTCTTGTTGTTGTAGATGTGTCTCGTTAATGGGTTTGTTTGTCCCAACCATAGTGAAGTGCGTGAAAAACAAGCCTGCTTTCTTTGCCGAGAGCCTCTATAAATCTATGAAGGTGAGGAGTCCTACACGCTGCCTTTCACTCCCTACCCTCATGCACACAATCCATATACATTGTCCTTTGGTGAGACTGGTCTCTGCCAAAAAGAACGCGGAATTTCCACGTTAACACCAACCAACGTCCTAGCCATTCGAGTTTACTTTCTTTCATGGGTACGTATATCTTGCCTTTTTCCTTGCCTCTTCATTTTTAATCCTATACCTGATAATTGGTTAGCAGTTTTATTTTAATTATTATTATTCAAGTAGTGGCACTTTGTTGATTTGCGCAACCGTTTCTGATGCAGGGCGCCGGCACGGATGACGCAACGCTAATGCGCATCATGGTGTCGCGCTGCGAGGTGGACATGCTGGACATCCGAGCCGAGTTCAAGCGCCTCTACGGGAAGTCCCTCTACTCCTTCATCAAGGTTTGCTGGAGCGAGGTGGCGCGTGGGGGGCGGGTGCGAGTGTGGGTGCTGTGAGGGGACATAAAGGGGTGCGAGGAGGGGGGGGTGGGATGGTGTGCGAAAATGGGTGGCGAGATGTTATCTGCCTCGCCTGATATACACGAGGTCGTGGGTTCGATCCCGACCCTGACACCTGTACATTTAATTTTTTACGCGTTTCTCTCTCCCCCTGGTCGTATGGATTTTTATCCCGGGTCCCTCGGTTTTTTCCCCTCAAATTGAGAATCAACATCGTTGCGTTTAGAGTATTTTGCTGCTATACATTTCCACACGATAAGCCACTTCGTTGAGCTATCATTTGTGGCCAGGTTGCCTCTGAAAAAGAGCTAATACCTCGGTGAGCTTTACCTGGTAAAATAAAATAGTTTGTTGTTGGGTGCTGTGGAAGCCAAGTGCTGACTCGTAAAAACGCTCCCAACGTTCGTCGGGAAATCGCTGAAACGATTATATTGGTGAACTTGGCGGTTCCTTTTATTCACGCAGGGTGACTCATCGGGTGACTACAGGAAGGTGCTGCTGCAGCTGTGCGGAGGGGATGACTGAGCGTCACTCCAATCCGAGACGACGCCAAACAACACGGGGAGCCAACTAGGGGACCACTGTTCGCGAGTGTCTTATTGTGCAACGTGCTGACATTGTCGTGATGCTTCCACGGTCACTTTTTAGCCATTAATTGCATTTGATTCGCAGTTCTAAAATAATAGGGATGTAACGATTCCACATGTTGATCATTTGTTATGTTTTTATAAACCGATAGATTACATTTTTCAAGCACCTACAGTGAGTTTCAATATTCGAAATTTGTTGGGAGATTTAAAGTGTTTTTAATCAAATTGTGCCATGGCAATGCTATCTTGGTTTGGCCTGTGCACGGTTTTCCCCACTCATTGATGATACTCGTCATTGACTGGGACTGGACTGAAGGTTTTCAGCCTGTGATGAAATGGTGTCAAGTCTATAGAGAGTGTCAGTGCAACATGCACAGATTCATCTCCACCTGCGCAACATGGGGCGTACCTTTTGACATCTCATTATCGTGTTACTCGGTGCTTATATTGTACGTTGCAACATTTCTTTTATCTGCTCTATCGTACTTGTAGGAAAAAAAACAGTAAAGTAAAATTATCGTTATGCCTTGGTCTATTAAATGATTTCAATTGGAGACTACAACGTTTGCTCCAATTTTTTTGCTTGCTGCATCTTATTAAAACCACTCATGTTCATCCCCATAACCTTCAGAACACTGCACCACCACATCGCACTACCCCACACATAAACCCATCAAACGCCCTAGTTTGGCCAGCATGGTTCCAGGTGCGTTGTTTGGCCCTGAACAGGACCGTTTGTCGTGGCTTGTGTTGCTCTGGATGATGACATTTCGTCGCGATTTCTGACTTAGAAGCCTTCACATCTTCCACTCCACCTACCAAACATCCTAGGTTTGGCCAGAATGCTAACTTTTCACGACCACCTGAAAAAGGTAGCTGCCAAGACCAAACGGGTGAATATGGTCCAGAAACTGGGGAGCATCAGCACCCACAGTGCTGCGGACATCAGCGATGGTCCATGTGTACTCTGTAGCCGAGTGAACCAGAAGCAGTCACCATTCGACTTGTTGATATCCAACTGAACACTGCAATGTGGCGTATCACTGGAACCCTCAAGTCGACCCCAGCACCCTGGCTGCCCGTGCTATCACATATCTCCCCCCACCCATTCGCCACAACGCTGCAACCCTCCGGGAATTCGTGTGAATCCAGTAATAGGGTCTCTTTCCCTTTCACCAGGACCTCAATAACGTCCTTCGAACATCCCTTGAAGCCGCGCAAGATCCATGCACTTAACCTTAAGAAATGCGAGTTCAACCCCAATGAGGTTTGGAGAGCCGAATGGAGTTAAAACCAACTCGCAAAACAAACACTGCCTTGTGAAAGACCCAATGCATAAAATCCATTGTTTTTGATCTACCAAGAAGCTCATGGTCCACCATAAACCGTATCCACTGCACAAACCATGGCAGCAGATGCGGATACCTGATGCACAAATGGAAAGTGAAAAACTTTCCATTAGTGTGCGACTGTGGTCATCAAGGGTGGGAAAAACCCGATTTTTTTTGCCCGACAAATCGGGTTATTGGTTTTAATGGAATTAAACCCGATTTTGCCGATTAAAACCTGGTTTTATTATCGGCGTCTCGTGCACACTTCAATCCTGCTCCTCGTCGTCGTCCGCCCCCGCCGCGTCGTCTTCGTCGTCGCTCTCGCTGCTGGACTCGGTGTTGTTTGTCGCCGGCGTCGGGTAGTCGTAGAACGCGTTGAGGTTCCAGTTAACGAAGACGAGCTTCTCGACTGTGTTGGGCGCCAGGCTGTTCCTCAACTTGGAATGGATAAATCCCATCGTCGAGAGGTTTCGCTCGGACGCAGCAGCAGCGGTCCACGTGGCCATGCCGCCGTGCGCGTGACTCACGCGCACGTCGGCTGAGCCCTGGCCCCGGCCAGAACGCCGCCAATGGGTGGGTGCGTGCGACTGAAATCCCGACTTCACTTTAATAAAACCGGATTTGTGCAGGGTCCAGGTGCTCCGGTTTTATATAAAAACCGATTAAAACCCGAATGAATAAAACCGGGCCGTGCCAGCCTTGGCGGTCATCCAGAACAGACCGTAACAACGTATAACGACGCAATGCCCTATCAACAAACATACGAAGGAGACATCACAGCGATGCAGTTCGGTGCTTCTGATGCGATTGTCTGGCTTGGCCACCTGGACGTGAAATTGTAATCGTTGGTCTCCATCGACATCAGCAGCCATACGACAGAAGAAGAAGCGAGGTGATTTTATGATCGCTGTCTCGGCTATACCGTAGACATCGTGTCAATCGGGACTTTGTCCCCACTACAATATGTTCTGCCTCTTCATACTCTCTCTACTCGTGGTACCAGCACTGTATCAAGTATACGTCCTTGTATATTATTCGCCTATTGACGTCCTGGAGTCCTTAAAATCGTAGCAATAAAATTACGTTATTGTTTTATTCTCAAAACATTGTAACAATTGAACGTGATGTAATTTTTTATGGAATGTATTTGCACACGCTGTAACGGGCAATAAAACATTTTAGTATCTCAGTGTAAGCATAAGAGCTGAACACTGGCTCATTCATGGTTTGAGGCCACGTAATGGCCCGTAGGGCTCCATTGATTCGAGCATCAATTTCGTATGTAAAGCTGATTGCAAACTATATAAGAATTCAAGAAAAGTTTAACTTTTATATTTGGAGCGTGGTGCGATGATGGGTGGTAACACTGGCAGGAGTTCGGTCTATTGGCTTGGCAGGTGAAACTCTGGCGAAAGTGTCCTTAAAATTCGCGTCGCAAAATACAATACCGTACAACAAAAATCGATTCTTGAACCGAATACAAAAACCCTGATTGGTGACGGTGAACTCATCTGCAGCGGTAGCAGCCAATGTTCTCACAACTTCCAGAAGATGAAGGCATCCCCTTTGCAAGGGGCCGTCCATAAATGACGTCACGCGATTTTGGACGATTTTGACCCCCCCCCCTTATCACAGACCCCCCCTCAAATATGACGTCACAAAGCTCTGCCCCCCCCCCCCCCCAAAAATATATAAAACATGCTTCAAATCGCTTTAAACTATTGTGATTGTAGTGCGTATTTAATGTGGCGCTGCACACTGATGTTGTAGGAGAAAACATTTATTAAAACGTCTATTTAAGTAAGTAGAACGTGTTGTCTATATTTATTTAAAGTTGCGCATTTTGATGTGACGTCACATTTCTCAAACTCCCCCCCCCTCCTTGACACAAATGTCTGACCCCCCCGCCCCACCGTCATTTATGGACGACCCCAACGCTGGCGAAAGTATCCTTAAAATTCGCGTCGCAAAACGCAATACCGTACAACAAAAAAATCGATCCTTGAACCGAATATAAAAAAACCCTGATTGGTGATGGTGAACTCATCTGCAGCGGTAGCAGCCAATGTTCTCACAACTTCCAGAAGATGAAGACATCCCCGTTGCAAGTCGCCCATTCGTAATAGAACGCATCATTTTTTCCCGTCCAGCTGATGTCGCTGTTTAATCAAAAAGACCTGCGCCGCAACGTCTCTCGCCTCTTCAGTTGGAAGAGGTGGGGGGTGGGGGGGAGTCAGACGACCGGCCATGAGCAAGTGTTGGAAATTCCACGTTACTATGGCCGGAGGACTACATAGCTCCGAGAACTCGCGCCGCATGTTTTAGAGGCATCAGTTTTACTGTGAATGAAAGGGGCCGTTCATAAATGACGTCACGCACCTGGGGGGGGGGGGGGGGTCAGACATTTGTGACGATGTGTGACGAGGAGAGGGGGGGGGTTTGAGAAATGTGACGTCACATAAAAATGCGCAACTTTAAATAAATATAGACAACACGTTCTACTTAATTTTAATGTTTTCTCCTACAACATCAGAGTGCAGCGCCACATTAAATACGCACTACAATGACAATAGTTTAAAGCGATTTGCAACATGTTTTTTTTGGGGGGGGGGGGGCAGAGCTTTGTGACGTCATATTTGAGGGGGGGTCTGACTTTTTGTGACGTCGTGTGACTAGGGGGGGGATAAAAAATCGTCCAAAATCGCGTGACGTCATTTATGGACGGCCCCTAAGACGCAGTTCCCGGCAGCCACGATGAGCGCGGTTGGCTTCGTACGAAATAAGTTCAACACACATACCGTACGTACAACACACATTAATATAGTGATTTGGTTATATGAAAAACATACATTTGTATACAATTTACATGGGTTTTAAAATCATGAATTCTTAATCTGTGTGGTTGTTAAACGCAGTAACCGGAGAAACCCCACCACGCATGAGAATGTCACAATACTCCGCACAGATGGATTTAATAATTAATTCAAGAATGGATTGAGGTGGGTGAGCGGGGGTTAGAAGACAGGAGAGAGAGGGAGGGACGAGAGTGAGGGAGTGGAAGTTGTAGACACACGAAACGCCGCACAGATGGGTTTAATCATCCATCCAATACAGGATTGATGTCATGGTGGAGGTGACGGAGAGACGACAAAGGGAGTGGAGAGACGTGGGAGGAGGGACACGTGGGAGGGTGGAGACGTGGGGTGGTGGGGAGACGTGGGGTGGGGGGGAGAGACGTGGGGTGGGGGGGGGAGACGTGGGGTGGGGGGGAGACGTGGGGTGGGGGGGGAGACGTGGGGTGGGGAGGAGAGACGTGGGGTGGGGGGGGGAGACGTGGGGTGGGGGGGAGACGTGGGGTGGGGGGGGAGACGTGGGGTGGGGGGCTCTGCCACAGATGGATGGAGGAGGGGTTGGTGGAGTTGAGGATGGAGGAGGGAGGGGGGGTGACAAGGCGAGATATGCAGGGAGGAGAGTGAGGTGGGGGTATAGGGCAGGTAGGATATGAAGGTGTGGTTGAAGGAAGGCTGTCCAGAGGACCAGGTGGGTGGGTTGCCACGTACATAAGCGAGGGCGGGTGGAAGCTGAAGTGAGCTGCTCTCTACCTGGAGTCGCCTTCACGTCCACTGAAATCGACTTCGTCCCGAACCTTTAACGGGAAGACTGTTGCCGAGGCTCGAAGGGAATTTTCACCAGGTACGCAGCACACGCAGAGCACGCCCGTGTGTGTGTGTTGGTGGGTTCGTGTTGCATGTTGTTGTTGTTGTCGCTGAGAGGTTGTTGTTGTTGTCGTTTTGTGTCCCGGCGTTTGTGTGCGCGCTTGTGGCGCGGTATTTCGTGCGGTGCGCTGCCGCGGTCCCGGCAATAATCGCGAGTTCTGTTCCAGACCGAGTGGTATCTGAACCGGTCCTGCGCGGCCACCTTAGGTCAACTCGACCTTAAACGAGTACCGTCAGTGATGCACTATGAGAACGTCAGCGCTGGTCAGAATATTTTTTTTTGTATTTTATTTTACCAGGTAAGGTGCACTGAGCTATAGAGCTATTTTTTTTGTAAAGCGATCTGGCCACAAAAGATGACTCAACGAAGTGGCTTGTAATGTGTGAGATTTATAGCAGTCGCCAAATACTCTGAACGCGTGATGTTGATTCTAAATGATGTGGAGGGAAAACCCGGAGGACTTCGGGGGTGGGGGGGGAATCAACGCGTCCACGTGGAGAGAAAGAACACGAAAATTCCAAATATACATGCATCAAGGTCGGAATCGAGCCCACGACCTCTTGTAAACTTGGCGAGGTAGTTAACATCTTGGCACCGAGGCGCGCCCAACAAAGACTTGCCACAGGCGCAGTGGCGTCTACAAACCAACTTGCCCCTACCGTGTGGCGTGCGGGGCTTTACAACACTTCCATCAACAACATGTGTAGCCTCTACGGGAGATCCTTGTCTTAAAGGCGTTCAACGCTTTTAACGCGTGGGGATTCAAGCGAACGTATGGGGGGTGTTTTTTTTGTAATGTGGTGGGCACATTTTCATCGAGAGGAGGACGAGCATGACACTGTGTGTGAATCTTGGCAACCCAGTTTTTTTAGCGAGTGTAAAAAAAATAGACTGGCTCGTTTAGCCGCCAGACAACTAGCCTAGCCTGTTTGTCAGCGTCATTTAATGTTGTCGACGATTATTCCGTCTGCCCCTTACGAACTTTTTCCGCCATATCGTGCAACCGTGCCTCCCCACCTGGGCCTTCACATCTATTCCGAGGTCCTCTTTTTTTGTTTTCCCTTTGCCGGTTTCCGTTGCATCAGTTTTTTTGTGTGGATAACCCCTTTGCGTTTTCCATCCTTCGTCGATGTCAAGGCCATTGCAGGCTCTTCATCTTGTTCTTCCTTATTTAAAATGCCGACCGTCTCTTATCCAATTCTCGTTCTGACTTCTGCATTGCCCGTCTTAATTTGCCACTTTGTTCACAGGATGTTGTATAAGGCGATGCCGATCTAACGCATTTTCATATCGGACGATCTCCCGTAGAGTCTTCGGTTGTTAAGCGTGACAATTTTTTGCTCGTGGTTATCCTGAGCCCAGTTTTGCAGCCTCCTTAATTCAATTCTCCTAACCTCCCCTGCAGGTCACATGTTCATTGGACGTCATCAAAACTGTGGTGTTGGCAAAAACAAGTTTTTACCATTGTGTATCCGATCATGTTTTCGGAAAAAAACTTCTAATTTTCCTGCGAAAAACCTTGGCAAAAGTGTGTCCGCCACGTACGCTGGCACCTTCATGTGATCTTCTTTACGCCCGCTTCCTTTTTGTAAATATATTGTATTACTTCTAAATATACTTCAGTTACACCTCCAATTTGTGGGAGCTTGGATGACAGGATTAACTTCAATCGAGTCGAAAAGCTTTTCACGCTCCACAAAGGCCAGGCACAATGTTAATCGAGTATAATGGGTCCTTTCAAGCACCTGAATCACAGTATAAATGTAGATACAACTTTCCTAAACCCTGCTCTAATTGTATAAAAATGATATTCCCAATGATCCTTGCGAACAAGTTGTATTATATTTGAGCCATGAGGGGCTCACGGATCTGTCGTTTTTTCCCCCCCCTTTTTGAATGTAAGAAAGATTGAGGAATTTATTGTTTTTGTAAACATAATCAAGTAAATGTCTTTTAATTTCACAACTTCGCCTCGTCAGTGGCGTAGTAAGGACATTATTAGCTCAGGGGGTGCGGCAATCCGTCGTGTGGAGTCACAATATGCGGTTTATCTCCAACGGCCGCACCTAGGCTGCATTATAAATCGCGGCTCCTCTTGCCCGAACACATCGTTACGCTCTCGGTCTCGAATATTTAATGCTGTAGGGGTGCTCTGTTTTAAATAAGTTGTTGTTCTTTTTACACTCTAGTTGAAAACAAATCTCATGGTGGTTGTCAATGAGGGCCCCAACTCGTAAATTTAGCCACCAGGGGGGTGGCGGCGGGGGGGGGCGCGACAAGGCACCCCCCCTGTGTGCTCCACGCTCGTTACGCTTCTGACCCTCGTGTATCCCAAAACGAGGCGATGCCACGGTGAACACGTTACAGTTCCGAGGGGGTGAGATGGGCTCGATGAAATATGTTCACGCTACCAAGCGTGTGTGCAGCTCTTGCAGCCTTTTCTCACTTTGTAAATGTTCTTACAGAACAGGTTGGGTGCGCACACGTGATCCATAAACGAGGCCATTTCATCCGCCGCATCTTGTTTGCACGCATTGATTTTTAAATTCCATTACATACTTAAACATTTGAAGTTGTACTATGTATGTATGTTAAAATTATTTCGCACTATACGAAGCCAACCGCACTAATAGGAGGTGCGGGGGAAGGACAAGTGTAATGCTTAAAACAATTAGTTATTGTTCTTTTTTGTAATACACAAACGAAGGCAATGGTGTACCATGGTCGACATGGACACTGGTACAGGGAATGATGGGAGCCCCCCCCCCCCCCTGTCCAGTTTTCCTCCCTCGTACTGTGGCGCCTCCACCCCTGCGGCCCGTGGGACCTGGTGCAGCTGCACTCCCTGCACACTCCCCGTAGCTATGCCACTGTTTATCGGGTTGTTGTGTAAATATTCGACTGAATCGTCGCACCGCGCTTTGAGGACTCAATTCGAAAGCCGTGAGATTCAATTCCCGTTGGGATGATTCACTGGGTCACTCATTTTCCTGGGGTCTGTGACCAAAAATGTACAACGGGTTTTGCCTTGTGGACAGACTGACCCTGCCATGGGAATGTGGAATTTTCACCACGAGGCTGATTTGCACGCCCAGTCCATTACTGAATGAGGCGACGAATCGATTCTGCAGTAGCGAACCCGCATCGTGAAGGGCCGAACAAAGCGCACGTGGTCAATGGTTACGTGTGGGGTACATCGTTACATCCGATTATTAACTCTCGCATCAAAACAAGTGTGAAGTGTAGATGTTATCAGTCATGTGGTGGTCACCACTCCCAACGTTGTGCAATCCGAGGAAACCTCAACTGCTCGCCGACAACCTTAAGTGCCCTGCATCGTAGGTCCCGTGACTTGGACGAGCACGGACGTCGTGACTTGGACGAGCACGGGCGTAGTGACTTGGACGAGCACGGGCGTGTTGTGAGGAAGCCCCCCTTGAGCGGTTGCCCTCCACAGAGGGCTTCAACTCAGCCGGAACAGTCCGGAAAGCTGTTCCAAGTAATTATTATGGCACATCACATCCATCTTGCCGTATTTCGTCCTGATTTTACGTACATAAAATCCTCTTCAGAAGAATATGGGGTCCAATAACATAGGTTTATTATGGACAGGTGTACTTTGCACTTGAGTGGTAGTGCCTTGCGCCGATAGTCCCTCTCAAAGGCAGACTAGAAACGTTCCAGAAAATATCAGGGGAGATATTCAGTCCTGCTTGTACAGTAATCGATAATAATTTACATTACAACCTCTTTGTTAATACACTGCCGAACGAATGGTCCCACCCCCGCGCAGTGTCAGATGTGCGGGTTCTTAACCATACTTCACCAAACTCTTTTGCCAGTACAAAAATATAATAATAGTTTTTTCTCCCTTTTTTTCTGGCAACAAAACTGAAACCTTTTTCTTTTTACAAGGAATCATGTCTACATTAACCACAATACCTGCGATCATAATGCAAACAAAAAACACAGATAATAGCAGTTTGGTAAAAGGTGAGGGCCAGGACCAGTTTGGATATCAACCGCCTCTCATGTCAGCCGTGGCCTGCCTCGTCCTCTGGCCTTTTGGGCCACTGCAGCGTGACCTTTTCCTTCACCAATATCTCCTTGCAGTGACCCCTCGCCACTTTTATTTCTCTCTCTCTCTCCTTTGTACGTTGCTGCATCTGCCAGCTGAGACGGCTTCCATCCTGTGTAGTGTTCCATGTGTGACGTGGCACAGGTGAAACCCACTGGGCGATTTTAAATTCTCATTTTCGATGGGGCCCTGGTTGCAGAAAACTGGTTACACTAAAAAATAAAAATATCAGGGCTGCACCTGTAACCTTCACCTGTAAATAGTTAAGAGTGCAGAGTTGAACCTTCGTTGTTTATAGAAACAGACATGATAAGCTTTATTTTTCTTTTCAATAAACACACGTATGTTGAGTGGCTTTGGAGACAGCTTGAGGGTGTTTTTTGGCAGCCGTGTTTATACCAGTGGTGAAGAACACATTGGGATCATCATAAGCATCATTCTGTTTCGTAAATATATGAAGGAGACTCTCCTTCACATATCTGTCCCTCCCAGATAAATAACAAATAATCATACAAGCATTTTGTACACAAGTGCGTAATTAAGCTTCTCGATTCTGTTTCCGTAAGAAGCTGCCAGCCGCGTGGAGCGGAACGTCTGACATCATGTTGCCGAACGACATGCGTTGGTACGACCCGAATAACAAATACACTAATACAACTAATACTATATTTATTTTACCAGGTAAGGCCGACTGAGAGCTATATAGCTATTTTTCAGAAGCGACCTGGCCACACAAATGATAGCTCAACAAAGTGGCTTATCATGTGGAATTTTATAGCGGCGTGATGTTCATTCTAATTGTGGAGGGGGGAAAAACCGGAGGACCCGGATAAAGTCCACGTGACCACAGGGAGAACATGCAAACTCCCAATTGTACAGGTATTGCGATCGAACCCACGACCTCTTGTATACCAGGCGAGGTAGTTAACATCTCACCACCGTGGCACCCGAAAACAACATCGCAAAAAGAGCTGTATGGCACAACCGTGAAAAACGTATGTGGTTAATCCAAATTTTACAATTGTTTCTACGTAGGCGTTCGCAGCAAATATTACGTTTCGTCGTACAGTGTATTGTGACTTTTTAACTAGAGCCCTCCACGACCCAGCGACAGAACCAATCAAAGGAAGTTGTGACTTAGTGGCCAATTGATTTGGGTTATCAGCAAGAGGACTGTTGAAAAGTAATACATTTTTTACGAAACTTTGTTCCCTATTTTACTAGTGCAGAGTCGTTAGTTTACTTCTGTAATATTGTTTTGTGCCGATTTAAGTGGATTGCACATTTTTGATTGGGTGCTGTGGTGTGTGTGTGCGCGTGCGCGAGATAAGGTTGTGAGGACGTGCGTATTTGGTGTGAATTTAATTTGGCCGCCTTTGCAAGAGGGAGGTGACCTTGCCGTGAGCGCGGTTAATGCCCCCCAATTTTCTCCCTTAATTATCCGAGCGTGTAATGTCCTTAAGCGGGGCTATTATGGAACTCTTTGTAGCGTTTGAGTAATTTTTCTATCGTTCAAAATTTGCACACAAATCCACCTGCTGCTACTTTTTACCTTGCTGTCGCATTTTTGTGTGGGGGTGGTGGTGGTAGGAGGTGAAAGAGTAATTTTTTTTATGAGTTCAGATTTTCCATCAATTATTTGGCCATTTTGAATGTGCACACTTTTAATTACTTAAGTACGATTCTCTTTCAGGTGTAATTTCTCTGCTTGATGTTTCCCAGCGACAAACAAATCTTCACCATTAACCCAAAAACCAAAGACTTATTTTCAAAGCAACCTAAATCCAACATTCACACCTTTTTTTAAATATTGATCATTCGCACCTTTTTTAAATATTGATCATTCGCAAAATGGAAGGGGGGGGAAAAACCGCCCCCCCCCCCCATGCCCTTTGGTATTTCACTGTAGCGTCCGTCACGTGATGATTACGTGCGGGCACCGACTGTTTGCCCACCCTTGACC